TACAAATAGCTCGGTATTGTTAAAATCTATTGAATTGTTGGGATTAAATTTGATTTAAGATTGAGATTTAGTAACTTCAAAAAATTTTTTGTGGGATTCTCTTTTTTTAATCAATAAAAAGTATTTTTTAAAATATTTTTTGAAGAGATAAATAATTAAAAAAATTGTGGTTGATTAATAATGCTCCGTACAACCATAATAAGCATTACATATTTTTTTCATATATTGCGCGTTGGTATTAATAAGCTGACTAAGCGAAGCTTAAAACTTGTTTAGAGTGGTTTATAAGTATATTTATATAAGTTGAGATAAAACTTTCTTCACATGTGTATTTCATATGCAATAAATTATGATTGAAAAGCTGTTTTTTACTATCACAATTTTTGAATACCGCCACTACAAACAAACACTTAAACTAATCTAGATCAAATCAGACTACATATAGGTGTCAAGTTTTCTCGCCGGTATCTTTTTTCACATACAAAACTCGAATTTAAAACATTATATTACTTCCGGTCCTAATTATAAGAGCTAGTTGACTAGTTTGAGGAGATTAAGGAAATAAGTTGAATTAATTATTTGTCCTAAATAAGTAGTACTCTGATCCTTAATATAAGACATTATTTGATTTTTATTTTGGTCCTATATATAAGACCTCAATCCATTTTGTCTCTCATATTTATACATTTTTTTCAAAATAGTTTTCCTAACAATGGTAATTCTAACCAATATGCTTTATTAGTAAGAATATTTTAGGAAATATAACGCTTATTTAAGATAAATAACTAACTTAACTTATTTTCTTAATCTTCTTAAATTAATCAACTAACTTTTATAATTAGGAGCCAAGGGTAGTATTAGAATAAAAAGCGTTGAATTATTTGAAGAGAATTGCTGTTATTGCAAGGTGAAGCAAAAAGAAGCTGGTAAGGTGAAGAAGATGATGTGCTTTGAGAATTTTGAGGGAGAAAGGTAAAGAATCACATGATTGCAAGGCAACTAAAGGAACATGATTTGGGGCTTTTGTTTGTTGTTTTGTTTATTCGAATGAATGAATTGAATTGAGCACCCCTCTCATTGTTAGTTGAAACATCTCATCTATGTTTGGTAGGATCGTTAACTATTCTCATAATAATAAATAATTAACCATATTAATTTATTTTTCCTGGGCGTGCATATTATTATTAATTTATTACACTCACAGGGATGTGTAGTTAATAATAATAATAATAATAATAATAATAATAATAATAATAATAATAATATCTGAGAATGAATGAGTGACTTGAAGCCACATTCACTTCTCACATATAAAACCCATATTCTCAGTATCTCCAATTATTTGCTCTCTCCCCATTGAGTTCCCTTCGAGTGGATTCTTTCCCATATTCTCTTTCCAATAAATACTACTCCATTGCAATTTGTCCTTCTCCTGCAAATTCAAAATTTGCGGTTTTTTTCCCCCCTGTTATTTCCAAAAATAAATATTTTTTATGGGTTTTCTGTGGGGCCCAAAGGCCCAGCAAGAAAATGACTTGAAGTAAACAAGGTTGGTCCATTTCTGGGTAGCTCTCAGTGAATTGAAAACTATATCTTGTTTCTTATTTAAAATTTATTTTATTAGATAGAAAAGTTTGATTTGATAGTTATACAACTTGTTATATATCAGTATCAGTCGTTAAATTAAATTTTTATTTTAACCATGGGATTTTTTTTTTTTGAGGAAAAAATGCCAATCAAACCTCCAACCACTTGTTTAAAAAACTAGAACGCCTACCACTTGTCTCAATATCTTGAGTTAGTAACAATGTTAAACTAACATATCCTGATATACATCTCATGTCCACTCTTTTCGATTCTTATTATAAATACTGAATTACAACTTTACATATATTAGTCAAATTAGTTATGTTGTAAAATATTAAAATTACCCTCAATAAAAATGGTTACTTAGATTAATTTGATTAATTAGTTAAAAAGTTTTATAATTAATCATAGATTATTTTTTAAACAGGAACATGTTATGTTATGAAACATATTAACAAGTTCTTATATTGACTATTGAGCACTAAAGAGTGTTAGTTACTGACATGTGTGTCTCAGAAAAAATAGTTTTATGAATTTTCAGGCCACATACTTTTTTTATTAATTAAATCCAATCGGTTCAGAAGTTAGGAGATTCTGAACAGCTTTTTCTTGCCCTAGTTGACATCTTAATTTAATAACTTGGGACGTACGTATGTGTAGGAATAGAAAGGAAGTGTGGATAATTATGAGGTTTATGATTTAACAAAGATATTGTAATAATCGGATGTAATGAAAGCAGATTAGTAACTCATAATGTGTGGGCATGTGAATAAAGACGAAGCGTGTTCATTGGCATTTATTTATGTATCAAATCTCTGAATCCCAGAAATGATAAGTAAGTGTAGTAGGACTATGATTAAGCTATTGGTGCCTACCAAAGATACCACATGGGGTTTTGTGATTAGTAATTATTCATTCACATCCAAATCTCAGAATCCGTGTGATTTTCACAGCAACTATCATACTCTTATTACAACATATAAATTCCCAAAATATTTAATTCATATAAGTTTTTTAAAATTTTTTTACCTATATTAAGTATTTAGAAAAAAATTCTTACTTACTTTTCTATGTCAACATTAAATAGAGATCAAACGAGAAAATTGTAATAAATAATTAACGTGTTGCTTTATAAAAAGCACTACGAAAATCCTCCTCCGAGTGGTGTACTTTTGAAGAAAATATTATTTGTCATGAGAAGTCAAAATATTAAATCCTTTGCTAAATTTATCATTATTTAAAAAATCACTATTTTTTTTACTACACATATATATAATCCTCTTTGAAGTAATACTAAGTTATTATCGAGTACTAAATATAAATATTTCTCTTAATAAAAATTTAAATATTAATTTATCATGTTGTAAGTGATTAATCACTTTCGCTAAACTCCGTTCATATTGGCAAAATCACAATATTTAACACCTCAAGCACTGAGGCAGCGTTGGGGGCAGTTTGATTTTTCTTTTTTCCTTTTTTTGGGCCAACAGTTGGGAGCAGTTTGATGATACACTTAAAATTGGTACGTGTCCTTGGGCCTTCATAGAAAAGGGATATCAGCCATACATTTGCATTGATGAGATCTGAACCGTTGCCATTCGGTTGGGCTTCCGTCAAAATGAATATATCTCTGAATGACCCAAAGCATAGATCGTGTTTTTTCCTAACGAATGGATAATTCAAACGGCTCATGACCCGACCCACGTCGCCACCACAGGGATTAAAGGAAAAATTTTTTTTCCAAGAATAAAATATTCTAACGATCCTTATGTTTTGTCCCAATTATTAATTACACATACTAACCTACTTTAAAGGGTGAAAAGTAACTAAAAGGTGTTGAAACGTCAATGTTAAATTTTCCAAAGTACGAATTTAAGCTAGCTTTTGGCAGATAAGCTTTTAAATGGCATGGCAAGTAGACTTCATAGTTCATAAAAGGAAAAAAAAAAATTTTACCCGAACAACTGTTATCTATTAAGATAATTTTAGGAACAATTTTGGCTTCTCAAGGGTGAACCAAACATGTCTAAATTTATTATTCACGCTGATGCTGCATAAGTAAAAATTATAAAAGTGCTCCTTGTTTTTTTTTTTTTTTGGGGAAGGTGCCATGCTGATGTGGATGTCTCACCTTACAACCTCCCCACCCCTCATTTTTCCCCTAACCAAATGATGCCAAAGAGGTTTACAGTCTCATCAGTCTAGGGAAAAAAAAAAGTGCTAATTGATATCATGATAAAAATATATTAATAAATATTTACATATACTTATATTATGCAAATTCTACACCTCAATTTGATATATCCTTGAGTAAAATGCTGCTAGAAATAGTAAGCACTAAGCAGCGTAAAATTATCATTTATTATTATAAATTTGTATAATACTTTTAATTTTAACAAGAGGATAAAAATATTTTTAGAAAATATCTAGAGATTTACTGAGTTTATAGATAAATTATATTACTAACAAATTATAAATAATACGAGATAATCACAAAAAATCCAAGCCTCCACATTCTCATATCTCTTGCCGCACTTTCTCTTTTTCATCATATTTTTCTATTTTTTTACTTTTTATTTGTTATAAGAGTATATTGAAAAACAAAAAAATATTTTTAAATTATTTATTATTTTTAACTGATTTTATTAAAAACAAATTAATTATTTGAAGGCTATAATTTAATATCTCCTCAAAAAAATTTGAGCACATGTGGTGTGGGGCGACGGGATCCAATGCACCTGAAGATACCAAATGTTTCCTTCTGTTCATTTATTTAATAATATTTCTTAAAGTTTTAGGTAATGCGTTGCACTCTGCGCCCTGCACAGTCACCGTCTGAGTCTGACCTCCACAACCCATGGTTTTATTTTATCATCTTCTTTGTTTCGTACTTTCCTTTCTCTCACTGAAACCACTGGCCTCTTCTTTCTGTCGTTCTCTTCTTCCTCTCATTAATTCAACTAATTAAACCGCACTTTACTCCACGGTCCACTCTCCTATACTTGCCCCCCGGGGGGGGGGTTTTCCCTGATTCAGCAAAATCCCACTACAAAAAATCCAATATTATGTCTCTGGTTTGCCCCTTGTTTCCTTCCTACTTTATTATTATTACAGAATCTGCCATTTCAACGCCAGCACCTGGTGCCTCTCTACAGAGTCTGAAAGTACTCTCTTGCCCTTCGTGCATTGAAATTTGCATCCTCAAAAATCAAAACCTCCGGAGAACCAAAAAAGTGCTTGCTTTTTTGGGGGCCGTACGATGCAAGTGAGCGACCACAATAAGCAAAAACAGATGACTCAAGACGGTGGAATTTGGAAGAAAACCATCAACTCCTAACCCCAATGAGGGGACTTTACTTCTTTCGTTATCCAATTCCTCAGAGATCTCTGAAGGGCTTTCGTTATAAATATCAAGCCTGCATCCCCTCTTCTCATCATCAAAACCTCTCGTATTACCAGTCTCATTTCATCGCTCACAAAAACTTGTGTTGTTTTGAACATGTCGAAGACAAATGTCTCTGCTAATTCTCCTCTTGAGAGGACCAGTATGGCCGCGCTTGATCAAAAGCTGGCCATGGCAAAGCGATGTTCTCATGGTATTCTTTGCTTTCTCCATCGTCTCTAAGTTATCACTTAAATTTCTTCGCCATCCCTTGGCCTTTTCTTCTGTACCTTACTCATCATAGTTTGGCTGATTCTCTGATTAAGTTTTGGACCACAGACATGTCTTCTGTGATAATTGCAATCATTATAGAAACTCATCAAACAGATTTACTGGAAAACGATCCCGAACTTATCTTCTTGTCTAAATGTGTAAACAGAGGGTGTGATAGCCGGAGCCAAGGCAGCTGCGTTAGCCGCTGTTGCCACAGCCATACCAACTGTAAGCACTTTCTGCTATTCTTCACTTCTCTGGAATCAATCTATCAGTTCAAATAGATATTTGTTTCTGATATATATATTCAGAATCCTGACCTAAATAGTGATGTTTAATATGCAGCTGGCTAGTGTAAGGATGCTGCCTTGGGCAAGAGCCAATCTGAATCACACTGCTCAAGCTCTCATAATTTCCACAGGTTAGCGTTATTACTCATTAACCATCCCAAATGATTGCTATATATACTCTCATTATAATTACTTGGTCATCTAACTCTGTATATTATCGTGCTTTGAGTGCAGCGGCTGGAGCTGCATATTTCATAGTTGCAGACAAGACCGTTTTGAAAACTGCGAGGAAGAACTCCTTCAAGCAACCCACCAACTTCGAAGCATGAATTTAACGAACTGGGTGGCTTGGATTATTATTTTGAACCTAGGGTTCTTGTTCTGAGAAATATTCAAACGTGAATGTAAATCCCATCAAGTATGTACTTATAAATAAGATGGACTGCATTTTGATGGCGGCATATCTATCGAAGATATATATATCTTATCTATAAGACTGGCTAGCAGTAGTTGTTATCATCAGCTAATTATATGAATGAATTCGAATCATTCTCTTTTCCTTTCTGCAGATGTTATTTGTAATCCTTTAAAGAGATTTAGTATGGTTCCAAAATAGTGATTGCATGAGCAAAAACTATCCAAAAAATGGTAAAATTAAAAGGGGTTTCTCATGGACAAGTTAAACTTCTCTTAATTAAGAGGATGAACTTTTTATGACAAGCCAGATCCTCTTCTTAATAAGACAACATGTCTTCCTTAAATAAAACATTTGCCGCTTAAGAACCATCTGTACGTTACAAAAAAACCAAAAACTGAAGGCCACTGGCATTTTTATAAATTAGAATTGATAATGTGTCTGTCCGTATGTATTTAGAACATGAACTTAAGGTATGTGATTGTGAATATCACAGGTGAGTCTGGAAGTAAATTTCATGTTTTCTGCATTGAAATGAATTTTGCGGTTATATCAATACACGGAATCAAAGCACAATTCTATCTGTTTTCTTTATTTTAAAAGAGAAAGGCAAAAGTAGCCTTTTAGGGGTGTTTGGGTTCCAACCCAAACCATGGTTTGGGGATCCTAACCATGGTTTGGGAAAAAATCACCCAAACACCCTTAAAAAAACCAAAACCATGGTTTTGAGTCAAAACCATGGTTTTGGGAAAAGCAAAAAAGTTTTGCTTTTGGAAAAAAAAGGGAGAGTGTGAGAGCCTATAAGATATGTATCTTGTTGTTTTTTTTATAAATATATATTTTTATAAATATATTTAATCTTATATCTTATAAATATATATACATATTAATTATTTATTAATTATATTATCTTATGTATTATTAATTATGTTAATAAAAAATATATTATTAACAATTTTATTCCTTCAAATTAAAATATATCATAAAATATATTTTTTCTATAATTATCATATTAATTTATGTCTTTTTTTAGTAATTTATACATGTAAAAAGTGCTTCTGGTAATAACTATCCAAACACTCTCACTTTTTAGAATCACTTTTTCACAAAATCTATTCTTCAAAAAATCTAGTCTCCCCATAATCTATTCTCCAGAAGCTATTTTCCAAACCATGATTTGGTTATATCCAAACACCCCTTAGTAAGCTTGCAAAGCCAAAATACAGTTTTGCAGATCAAATGTAAATGAAGGAGCTGTGTAAGTAGTATTTTAACTGAAGTTATGATGAACCCTGTTTCAATGATAAGTGAATATATTCAAAAATCCTTAAGGAAAATCAAAAGGCTACTTTTTTGGAGGAAAAATTTGGAACTAGATTTGATACTTTGATGGGTATTTTAAAATCATTAAATCAATATCTTTCAAGTCTAATTTGAACGTTATAAATTTAAAATTTTTAATTAATTATTTTTAAATAAATAATAATAATAAAAAATTATTTTTATTTTAAATTTTATACTTATTAAAATAAATATTTTAAATAAATAAAAAAATTAAATCTAAATTATCTAAATAAGATCTGAATGGTCCCTTATTAAAGTTTAGGGTGGTTAAAATTTGACCATTTTCGGCCAAGTAAGCAAAAGGTGCGTCCCCCAAGCCCCAAGGACTATTAATTTTTTGGCCGAAGTCCATCCTAGTCATATAGGCCTGCGGAGGTTGATGAGTCCACAAGTGGGCCAGTTCCTACGTTTTCACCTGAGCTCATGCCAACTTGCCGAGAGGCATATGACGGTTGGAGTCCAAAAAAGTGTTCGATAATTCAAAAACACTTGTCAGAAATTTTTTTTCATAAATTAATATAAACTCTTTTATATATTTATTTTATACAGTAAAAATATTTTTAAAACCGTGATTTTGTTTCTACCTAAACATTTAGAAGCACCCAAAAACATTTTTTAGAAGTATTTTTTTATAAAACAAAGCAAACTTCTTCACATATTTACTTCATATACCGTACAAATACTTTTAAAACTATCTTTTAGTTTCTACCCAAACACCCCCTAAATATATATATCCAAATTGCATTATGAATATTTTTCACTATTTAATACTACCTCCGGTCCTAATTATAAGAGCCAGTTGACTGATTTGAAGAGATTAAGGAAGTAAGTTGAGTTAGTTATTTGTCCTAAATAAACATTGTCTTTTCTAAAATATCCTTACTAATCAAGTGTATTAATTAGAACTATCATTGTTAGAAGGGTTATTTTGAAAAAAATGTATAAATATGAGAGACAAAATGGATTGAGGTCTTATATTTAGGATCAAAATAAAAGTCAAATAGGATTTTATATTAAGGATCGGAGGTAGTATTGCATGGTTGAGTCATTTAAAAGATTTTCTTTAGGACCTAAAAATATTTTAAAATTGAAATTTAGGAACCAAGCCAATTTTAAAGATATTGGATTTTGACGTTAGCGAGGACTAGGGGCATTTTATCAAAGCCCATATTTCTTTTCTCGGGTTTTTTTTTTCCTGTCTTATTGATATTGATGCGACGTAAGTTAAAATTATCAAACAGACCATAATTTGGGAAAGTTGACATGCTCATGTCTCTTCTAACTCTTTTTTGTTTTTTTCCCACACGCTCACGCTTATATGTTGAACAACCAGGATGCCGAAGAGGCTTATAGTATCATGAGTCTAAGAAAAAATGAACATATTATCAGGCCAGATATTAATTAATATTATTTTCAGTTTTATTTATAAGATTTCGCTTATAAACTATAAATGAAGTTTAATAATTAAAACAGGAGAAAGTAAATATTTGCTTACATATTATAAAATTTGCACATGTTTGGTGCAAACACCTCAGTTTGGTATTTGTCAATGAGTACTGATATAAATAGTACAAAATACTTTTATAATTTTTGAAACACAAAATTATCTATTTTACACGAAAAAGTAATTGATATCTTTAAAATTAAGAAAAATGGAGGGATTACGGGTAATATGAGATAAGTGAATAAAATTCCACGAATCTTTAAAGCAAAAGGTACTTAAAAAGATGTTTTCTTTAATTTAAAAAAATGGGAGCAGTGCACGTGTTATGATGTGACAAACAGATCCCATGGTTTTATGATTCATGTTGTTTCTTCCTTTTCACTCTTCGCAAAACCACTGACTTGTTCTTTCAACCTTTCTCTTAATTAATCCTCACTTTACTCGCTCTCTCAGTCCACTCTCCTCTATTTCAAAAATAAACATATTTTTTTCCGATGCGAGAATCCCATTACATCAGCTTTAGTTACAATACTTTATTTTATTTTGAAAAAACTAAATTTACAAATAATTTTTTTTTTAAATTTTCTTCTTTGGGATTTAATCATTTTAAACCTTTTTTAAATGAGATTCTCCTTTTTCCAATACTAATTTTTATAATTAATTAAAAATTTTAATAAATTACTTTAATTTTTTAGAGTTAATTTATTTTATTTATAAATTGATATATAATATAATAATTTTTAAAAAAAACCCAATATCTATGGCGTTTTGTGATGGTGTCAGAATTTGAATGATACGAGGGGATAACGTCGGTGTCCCATGTTTGCGTTCTGCCCCTGGTTTTCTTCCTCCTCTATTATTATGACAGAATCCGCCGTTGCAACACCAACACCTGGTGCTTGGTACAGAGCCTCAAAGTACTCTATTGCCCTTCATGCATTAAAAATTTGCGTGCCCAAAAATCAAATCAAACCCTCCGGAGAAAAAAGTGCTTCTTTTGGGGACTGTACGATGCAAACTAGCGACCACAATAAGCAAAAACAAATGTCCCAGACGGTGGAATTTGGAAGAAAACCATCAACTCCTAACCCCCATTGAAGGGACCTTTTCTTTTTTCTTCTTTTTTTTACCAACTCCTCAGATTTCTTGAAGGGCTTTCATTATAAATATCTAGCCTAAATCTACTCTTCTCAGCGTCCAAAGCTTCTCGTCTTACCAGTCTCATTTGTTGCTCGCCCCTAAAATCTGTGTTCTTGAACATGTCGAAGGCAAATGTTTCTGCTAATTCTCCTCTTGAGAGGACCAGCATGGCTTCGCTTGATCAAAAGCTGGCCATGGCAAAGCGCTGTTCTCATGGTAATCTTTCCTTTCTCTTCATCCTTATCTCTTCCTTGCACTCTTTAATTAAACCCAGAGAAGCCATTGCACTATCATTTCTCCGCCATCCTCGTCTTTTTCTTCTGTACAATGCTCATATTTTGGCTCATTCTGATAAGTTTTGGACCGGAGACATATCTGCTGCGATAATATCGATCACTGAGAAATTCAAACGGATTTTCTGGAAAACGATCTCGAACTTATCTTGTTGTCTAATGTGTAAACAGAGGGTGTGATAGCGGGAGCCAAAGCAGCTGTGTATGCCACTGTTGCCACGGCCATTCCAACTGTAAGCATTTTCTGCAACTTTAGTTTTCTTGAATCAATCTATGAGTTCCAATAGAGATTTGGGTTTCTGAGATAATCTGATAATTCTAATCTAAACATTCATGTTTGACATGCAGCTGGCTAGTGTTAGGATGCTGCCTTGGGCTAGAGCCAATCTGAATCACACTGCTCAAGCTCTCATAATTTCCACAGGTTAGCATTATAACTCATTAACAATCCCAAATGATTACTATATATACTCTCATTATAATTACCTAGTTTTTTGGTCATCTAACTCTATATATATATATATATATATATATATATATATATATGATTGGTTTGAGTGCAGCGGCTGGAGCTGCATATTTCATAGTTGCAGACAAGACCGTTTTGAAAACTGCGAGAAAGAACTCCTTCAAGCAACCCACCAACTTCGAAGCATGAATTTAATTCAAGTGGGTGACTTGGGTTTTTGAATCTGGTTCTTGCTCTTCATTGGGCTATTAGAGAAATCCAAACGTAAATCCCATACACTATGTGTGAATCTGGTTGCGGCGGGATCAGTGGTATGTATAATATATATATATATATATATATATATATGTAACCCCAGCTGTGGGCATGATCAGCTTTAATGAATGAATTCTCAAACCATTTGATTTTCCTTTCTGCAAATGTTAATCCTCTAAAGAGTCGAAGTAAGGTTAGAAAGTAATTGCATCAGCAAGACTTTCCGCTTATGAACCATCTTAGTCCTGCAGATTATCCTTAAACAAGATGCATTTGGAAAAAGGAAACCGATAAGGCAATTGCATTTTTATAAACTATTCTAATTTGCAAAAAAAAAAAAAAAATTATATTGTTTATTTGTGTCATCTTTTTTAAAATACTCACTTTTTTTAATGATAGTACTAAATAGGGAGATTAAAAAAGTTAGAAAAACTGCGAAATCCATGAGTATGTGGGGAAAACATATTAAACGAGGGAGGAAATCCATGAGTATGTGGGGAAAACATATTAAATGAGGGAGGCAAGGCAGATCGATCCTATATGCAAATTACACTGACCAACTAGGTTCTATATCATGTAACGTTCTATATTATGCGAGAGTGAAGGGAGTATTTGATAATGAGTCCGCCGGCATATGAGTAGAAGCAATTTCATTTTCCCTTTATTCCAGTGAATTTTGTGGTTATAATAATATACGAAGTCAAACAATTCTACATAAATTAAAAAAGATATTTTGATCAACAGCCTTTTTTTTTTTTTTACTAGGAGGTGGGAGTTGATGAAAGTAGAGAGGTAGCTAGGCTGTGTAATTTTTTGTTCAGACTCTTAGTAGTATACAGTTTTTCATTCAAGAGAGAGGGGGGGGGGGAGTAAAAATAGTCTTCTATTTCTTGGTCAAAAAAAAAAAAATAGTCTTCTATTTTGATTGCAAAGCCAAAATACAGTTTTGCAGAGATGTGAATGGAAGAGCTGAGTAAGCTGTATTTGATTGAACATCTTGGGAGTTGGAGGTAACCTAACGGAAGTTATGAAGCCTGTTCAATGAAAACTGAATATTCAAAAATCCATTAGGAAAGCCCACAAGATGTGGATTCTCCAAGTATTATTAAAGTGAGAAGCTAGGCCTCCTTTAGAGAAGAATAATCACAAATAAAAAAAAAACAGAGAATATAGTGTAGTGGACTGTCTGAGGTTTTTATTTCATCTCTATTTAGTTATCATGTGCCGAATATTCATCTTGTCTGTTTGGTGAGAAAAATGGATGATCCGGATTCCTTCTTATCAAACCAAGGGTCGAGACGCAAGCAATGATATGTCAATGCGGGATTTGACTATTCTACGCCACGTCAGCAAAAGGTGGGTCTCTCGTTGGCTCACTGAGTTTCATGAATCATTGTAATGCAGTCAGTATGTTCTGGGCGATCTGTATGTGATCTGCAACTGTGCCAATTCCTACTTTCTCACTTGAGCTCATGCCAAGGGGTATAAACATGACAGCTAGCCTAGGTATATCCAAAATTCCAAAATGCATTATGGGTTTTCTTTTTTCCAGAATTTAATATAACATACTTGAGCCAGTTAAAGTATTTTCTTTAGAACTTAGTATTCAAGGATGACTCCATTAGTATTATCTAAACCATGTCCTTTAAGAAGTTAAGCATCTCTTTAGGGACAAAAGGAAGACACCAAAGAGGCATCTTATCTTTTGGGAGGGGTTAAGGCCTTATATTCACAAGTTTCCCCCACTCTTTCATATGAATTCCAATTGGAGGTCCAAAGGATTTGGATTCCATAGTATATATAACTTTTTTGAAAGATAGAGTGACTAGGTTCACATTCATTCTGTTCAGCGTTGGCTCGCCGCGTCGCCTCAAATCTAAGAATTTTTTCTGCCAAATACTTTACTTGAGGAGGGGGGAAAAAACAGAGATGGAGAGAGACAGAGAACAGACACAAAGTAAAGCAATAAGAGGAAGTTTGCTTAGCTTACATGCAGTTTGTTGAGTGTCTTAAAGAATGATCTGAAGATGTGGCAGGCCATGATACACGTGAGGAATCTTACGGAGCATAATCCTATGAACAATATAAGCACACATGTCACAGTGTTGGAGTTCATACAAGTTTTGTTCATGTCACACTAGAATTTCAACACGCTCACCACAAGCCGTAAAAAGAAGCTAACAGATTGCTAGCTAGCTAATGGGTGTGAATCTTCGAATGGCATTTCAATTATTGCTATAAAGTGATCCAAACAAAGCGAGGGGGCAAAATACAAGTTGGATATGAAAATGCACGAGAATGAGACGTGGAATTGATTCTCCATAAATTTTTTCACTTTCAAAGTCTCAAACTTCAACTGCAGATACACCACATAGTTGGGCTGCAAAATTCTGCCTAGTGAAGGTTTATTTGCCTCTGGTTCATCAGGGGATTTTTGATATTGTTCAAGTCAATGACCGCGTCTCTTACCCTGGATATGTTCTTCTGCAATAATGCACAGGAATCACTTAAAGAAAGGCACAAGAGGTGGGATTTAGATGGAAAGATAGTGCGTGTACATATGCACTATAATTTCCCACCTAATAGAAGATTCCACTTCCAATCCCACCATTTCTCAGTATCTCTATCTTTCAGATATTTCTGCTTCTGGAACCCCATTTTCAGAAGACACTCTCTCTAGATGACCAGGGAACAGATCTCGCTAGAATAATTAGACCACCAGGGAACAGAAAGAGACATCCGTGTCCCAAGTCTCAACTACAATCAGTATATAAAGCCTCCCAACTCTAGCAGCAAATTTTATCACAGCAACTTACCTGCTTTCTCTGAACTACTTCTCTACAAACATCTGTCAAAACATTGCTGAGTTGCTCCTACCGTTATTCATCAGTATTCTTAAGGTAAACATAGATATCCAATTTTTCTTCATTCATCTAGAAATTACTGTGCTTAATAGCTCATATATATCCCTATTGATGTAGAGATCTAGAAGGAGCATATTGACAAAGATGAGCTACACCGGACGTGATTGGCTGTGTGGTGTTTGCCAGCATGTTAATTTTAAGAGGAGAGATGCATGCCAACGTTGTGGGTACCCCAAGTTTGGAGGTACCGAGGCATCAAGCTGTGGGAACAATAAGAACAGTGAAGCATTAATGCCGGGAGACTGGTTTTGCAGTGCTGAGAACTGTGGAGCTCACAACTATGCAAGCCGATCAAAATGCTATAGATGTGCTGCTTTCAAAGATGACAATGCTGGCTCTGATGGATATGGACTTGGTAGTAGCTTGCCCCCACCAGGGTGGAAGCCTGGTGATTGGATGTGCTCTAGGTCAGTTCACAATTTTCTGAGGTTTTGCACTGCTTTTAGCGCTAAAAATAGCATCTTCACTGCTTTAGTGTAACTTTCCCAGGCTTCATTAATTCCATAGTTGCATCATGAAAGGCCAAGAAAGAACATGAATTTGGTTACATCTTGACAGAATGACCTCATATTATGAAGAAACTCACATCTATGGTCAATGAGGTTTAGCTTAGTGGTATTAGAGTTATCTTCAGTATTTTCATTCATTTGGCTAATAATCTTCAGCATTGAAAATGAACTCCATAGAAGCATAACAGTTCCATTTAACTGAGTTCATCTGGAGCAGATGAAAACTGATTTTAATTATGTCTGCTCCTTTTCATCCACATGGTGACTCAGAGGTTAAGTTAGACTATTTGATTATAAATCAAGTGACTGACCAGGGAGATGCAACTTCATCAGCCTAGCTTACAAGTGCATATATATACTTGTATTACACCTTAGCCTAATGTGAGTTCTCTTGTCCTTTGTTTTCCTGTAATGTAACAGCTGTGGGGCGCATAACTATGCTTGCAGGGAAGAATGCTTCAGGTGCAATAACACCAAATGATTATGGTAAGAAAAGTCCACTTACTATTGATGGTATCAAAAAGAAAAAAGAAAGTTGAGTCCTAAAAATGATATTACTTACTAGCAAGTGTTTTTCAATGTCAATTATCTCCTGACACATTTATGACTTGTATTTCAGGCCGTGAAAATTGAAAGAATTTCAGAAGACCCATATTACAAACGGTTCACATATATTACCCCTGCAAACAATACAAGATTAATTGTTTCTCCGCTGGCCTGGTGTTAGAAGCAAAACTATGTTTTGGCACTAGGAACTTTTTTCAATTTTGTAATTTTTTTTTTTGCTGGGTCTTCTAATAAATCAATGGCTTATGAATACATGCTAATGTGGGTGTGTGCAAGAAAGAGAGTGCACGCACATGAGTGTGTTGATGGATGCCTAACATCTATATAATTGAACAACTTCCACTATGTGGTCCAAACTCAAGAGAGAATATTTTGCATGGTTCATTCATTTTTTTTTAATTATATGTCTAAAATGATAACCTACTAAGTTAACAGAACTAGAAGCAAGAAGAAAGATCACAAAATAATGTAGATCACTAACATCCAACATGTTATTGATCTCAATACTGCAAATAAAGAAGTTAACTTAGAGAATCCTACAGATGCAAATCCAAGGCACCAAATTAAAAGTACAGGACGGCTTATATTTTTTTGCAAGGATCAAAGAGACGGTTTGAGATTTCATTTGGTTGATTAGTATTACTATTACTACTGATGCAAAATGTAACACGAGGCATTAGAGCATTTAATAACCAACTCAGTTGTATCATTAATAGAATTAGTCGTTTCAATTGAAGAATTAGCTGACTGGTTTATTAATTTACTATAAACATCACATTTTAATTTATTAATAAAAGATAATTGATGTTGATAATTCATTTATTTTTTTTGAAATTAAAGTCAAATCCCAAATAATAAAATTCATATTTTCTTAAAAAAATTCTATTTATAAGTCAACTTCTCTATTTATTAAGGAAAAAAAAACCGGCTGTATACTAAACCAGTTGAGGTAGTGGTTCAAGATTAATTGGTCGGATTGGAGTCAACTTGGAATCAAACTAGTCATATTAAAATAACATAATTTAATTGAAAATAATAAAATACAATAACATTAATAATCATTAATAACAAAGTATAAGGAAATATAATAATAATTTGATTGTGACAATAACAAAGTACAACAACATTGAGAATTTTGATCTTTACAATTCATCAATAATTATAGTTAATAATTATTGATACCAAAATCATCACTAAAATTCATTCAAATCTATAGTAACTAAGATATTAGGAGTTGAGTGAGAAAAAATAAAACTAATAACAATATAATAAGTCAAAATGATTCATCACCAGTTTTTATCGATTCACATTGGTTTAACCGGTTTGATACTAGTTCAACTCTTGACCGATTTAATGCCTAAATCAAACTAGACTACTGACTGGTTGATCGATTTCTTAGTTGAACTTGCAGATTCAGTCAGGTTTTTTATTCTATGATATTTATATGATAAAAATTTTAATATTTACAAGTGATTAGAACTTATATATGATTGAATTTTATTTGAGACGTCACTCACTGTAATTCTTTTTTATTTTTTTAATAATTTTGAAAGCACGCTTTATTAATTGATTAAAAAACATTTCAACTTATGCTCTATTTATTGTCTCAAATTTAATCACTAACAGGTGGAGAAATATAGATTGAAGTATTTTTTTTTTTTTAGATATCACTATGAATATACTTTGGACACGTTCCAAATGTGATGAAGTAGTAACTATATTGGCAATTTGGTTTCCCATTTAATCGTTGGCCAAAAGAAGAAATTCACATTTATTAATGATAATGATTTTACTGTAATTATCTTGTTATTGGGTGATTCCTGCGTGATTAAAGGTTCCAGAATCCTAACGGCTTTTTGTGGGACTCATCTCTGTGAGCTGATTCATTGTTCCTTTTGCATTTAGGTTTTGTGACAGGCGGCTAGGGTTTTGACTTCTTTTTGGTATAAAACTCTAAAACCTTGCTCTTGCCTCCAAACATTCTTTTTATTCTCTAGGAGGGAATACAGGCTTTGAGTCTTTGGACTCCTAATCCTAAATTGGTGATTAAAGGCTGAAAATTTCCAAACTTCCCAGCCACCTGTTTGATTCAATCTCCAGTTCGATTCCGTACATAATCTTGGTTTTCCTTATAATCTTTTGATTCTATGATTTAATCCCTGAGAATTAGGCGTCAGCCCGTATTTGGTCTTGTGATTAAGTAGTCCTTTTGATCATTCATTCCTTCAAAACACATCAATTTCTTGAAGCTGCTATAGTTATTGAATCCACTCAGCATTACAGGCTCTTCTACCATGGGATCCAGTCTCGGAAGGGTTGTATGAATTGAGTACATTTTGTCATCTTTTATTTCATCGGATCAATCTCATCTCTGAGAATTTTGCTATGAGTTTTCCTGATCACCACTCTGCCTTCATGCTATCGCCACTACCATTTGCGGCGGATGACGATTCCAATGGAAGGTGGCCGCAATTCCCCATCAACAACGAACTATTCGATTCACATTCCACATTTGATCAACTTCCTCCGTTCAAGAGGCCCAGGACATCTGAAAGCAGTCACTTTGATCCCTCGCCCTTCCCGCCGCCCATGAATTCCAGAATGCACCACCCACAAAATCCTCCAACAAATAGAGGAGGAACGAGCCACATTTTTTTTAAGACTCGCTTGTGTGCGAAATTCCGAATGGGTACCTGTAGGAATGGCGAGAATTGCAATTTCGCTCATGGCAATGAGGACATGAGGCAGCCACCTCCAAATTGGCAAGAACTTATTGGTTTACGCGATGAAGAACGGTCATCAGGAAATTGGGACGATGACCAGAAAATCATACATAAGATGAAGCTGTGTAAGAAGTACTACAATGGCGAGGAATGCCCTTATGGTGAAAGGTGCAACTTTCTTCATGAAGACCCGTCCAAGTTCAGGGATGATGCAGGGAGGTGCAGGGAGAGCTCAGCTATAAGCCTTGTAGCTAATGGATCTCCAAAGTCGCACTTGAATGGCCCTAGTAATCCAGACAATAATAAGACTGTCACCACTGGGTCTGATGGTTTCAGAACAAATGGGAAGGCTCCTTTCTGGAAGACTAAGTTATGTAGCAAGTGGGAGACAACAGGACAGTGCCCTTTCGGTGATAAATGTCATTTTGCCCATGGACAAGCAGGTTAGTGTTGATGCAGAGGCACTTTAAAATTATACATACAATTCCATTTTCTTGTTTGTTTGATTATGTCCTAGTCTTGCTGGTCATTATTAAGGTTACTGATATTGTCACCTTTTTTTTTTTAATAAAAAATGTGTTCATGTTTATGTCCATATATTCTTTCCTTTTGCGCAAAGGTATTGACATCTATCCTTTAGAAAGGGATCTTTGGCGCATTGGACTTTCAGTGATGTTTTGAATTATACCTGGCTTTCTGCATTCATATCTGTGATCCTATCCCTTAACTTTTTGAGTAAAACATTAATATCTTACTCTTCAAAAAGATAGTCTTTGTCCTTTTAAATTTTCAGTGATACCTTAAATTACATCTGATATTTGATACTAACATTTGTTAAATATTTGATTCTTTAAAGAATTAGTGGTATATTTTAAATTACATGTGAATCTTCAAATGTCATTGTCAACCCATCTTTGAACCTTTGACATTTTAAATTGTCATTCTAGTGGTTTGAGTCTTTAAATTACTTGTGAAGCTTTAAATAATTAGCAGTACATTTTAAATTGCACCGGAATGTTTTGTGTTCGTGTTTGAGTCTATACATCCTAGACTTTTTGGTGAATGCATTGAAGCTCATATATGTCAATACATGATATGTGAGTGCAGTGTCCATTCTGTTTGTTCCCTGGACAATGGGAAAGCTAAAACAAGATAATTATGTTCATGAATATGCATTCTCTTGTTGTCTTTTATGATGTTTGCGGCAATTTTTGATGTAACAAATCTTACCTCTCTCCGCCCTGCCTCCATAAAGCCATTGCATTTGATGTTGAAATTTTCTTATTTGGTGAGGTTTGTTAGTATGGTAAATTGCATTTGTGATTGACCTTCGGTATTTTCTCATAGATTTCTAACTTGTGCTTTCATACTTATGATATGATTAGGACATCATCTATAAGCATCACTCTTAATAATCAGATATGAGATGCCTTTTCTTTTACTTCAGTAAATAGTTGGTTTTGAATTTGAGGTGAAAACTTACCAAATAATACTGTTTATTTTGCTATCAATTGACTTCTGATATTGCATTCTCTCAATATCAATTCAGAGTTACAAGTGCCTGGTGTACGCAGTGAAATAGAAGCTATTGGGGCTGCATCAATTCCTGTAAATGATGTGTCTCCTATCAATGCTGTAAGTATACTTGATTCAAAGGAGGAGGAGCAGAAAAAGAAGAATTTGTTGAAGTGGAAAATAAACAAGAAGGTCAATCGAATTTATGGTGATTGGCTCGATGACTTTCCATTGCCAAGGTAGCTTAGTTGGATAGCTGGAGTTTGGGTCTTGGAAAGTTTGCTTTCCATGAAATTTTGATAAGATGGGGTCACTCATGCTTGGTGATCACTTCATAGGTTTATTTGTTTTCTTCTTTCTGTCACAGTGGTTTATAAAGTTTTTTTTTTTTTTGGTTCAAAGGGTCTATTGGATTCTTGATGGCATTGAGATAATTCTCCAAGTTTTGTGGGCGGGGTAGGTTCTGATCAAATTATGTTTATTCTATTTCTATTTTATACATCAACGTATGATTATTCAAATGGTGTAAAGTCGTTAATTTTTCTACTTCTAGATGCATTCCTTTCAAACATAAATGCTTTCTGTATTGATTGCGTGTTACTACTTGAAATGCAAAGCTGCAATTTAAGAGAATGTGTTTTACAGATTAGAATTAACATCCAGGCTGTGAAAAAAATTATACCAAAATTCGTTAAAGAGACATCCTCACATCCATATGTGTGCAACTAAGAGAACACCTCTTCTGACAAAAAGAGAGAGCAACTTAGCCTTTGATATCCATCATTGTAAAATGTAAAAATTTCAACAATTACAATTTATACTATCCTTGAATTATGAAATGTAAAAAATAAGAAGCACATATTTTTCTAAATATAATTCAAAAATTTACTAGGTTGTATTACTATGAGTCATTAATAATTTAATTTAATTTATATTTGTTTAAAAAATATGTGAAAAATAGTGGAAAAAAAAACTCTAAAATATTAAAATAAAAAAAATACACAGTTATTCCTTTTGAGCTATAAATGTTGATGATTGAATATGAAGAAACTGAACGGTTGTCCAGTGAACTGAACCCAATGGCATTATCGAATTTTATTTCCATCCCCGTTTGATTTTTAAATTTGAAAGGAGATTGTGGTTTAATTTGAGGAAAAAAAAAAGACAATAGAAAGATTTTTCGGTTCCAATGCCAAGGTTCTCAATTAGGAAGGTGAGCGATGAAGTCGTCATCGGCGCTCTTAACTCATGACATAATTCTTCAGCGACCCCTGGCACTGGCCGTTACCTTCCATTCTTCCTCCTTCAATACAGGCCTCAATGCAAGAAGATGATAAAGCTTCTTCCATTGCCTTCATCCTCTACCATCTCTTCCATAATTCCCACTTCACTTCATACTACTACTCTATCCAGAGCTTTCTCATCACACAAGGCTTCCCTTGGCATCATGTCCATCAACTCGCACACTCCTGCCTACAGTGACAATACACCATTATCCAGATCCTCCAACCGTAGCGACCTCTTTTCACCCACCGCAGCTCTTGAATCCCTGAAATTTCAACTTTCAGTGTCCACTCAATCTTCATCCACCCCACGTTTCAAGGTCTTGCCTTTCAGAAATGGGAGACCCTTAGCCTCTTCTTCGGCGGCTCACTCCGTGGATTCCCAGCAGATTTGGCATGTGGGTTGGGTCAATTTGGGGGATCTCAAGGTGCTCTTGGAAACTTCTGGTGGACAATTGAGTGGAGACTCGTTGGTATACGCGGGCTCGTGTTTAGAGGACGATGTCGTTTACTGGGCAATTGATGTTTCTTCTGAGCGGGGCTTGTTGGCTGAATTAGGAAGCAAGAACTTCTGTTTCGTGGAGTTGAGATCACTCATGGTTGCTTCCGATTGGTCGGACTTGCAAGCGATGGGAAACTTGGCTATTGCTGGTCATGTAAGTTACGCTCTTTCCATCCCTTTTCCAATAATTAGTAAATCAGACGTGATTATAATCTTTTTTTAAGTCCAAAAACGATTAGAAGTTGCACACTTTGTGGAATTCTCTGATTCCTTGGTTTTGCATATTAAACACGTAAAAAGGCGGCTTGTAATTATATAGCTTTCTTCGTTGTCAATTTTTATCATACTTTAGTCCATGAAACATGTAGTGGTCGGCGTCTCCCTAATTAATGGGTTTGTCCAGGCCAGGGCACTGCTGGAATGGCATAATATATCTCAATTTTGTGGACACTGTGGAGAGAAAACAGTTACTATAGAAGCTGGGAGGCGAAAGCAATGTTCTAACGAATCATGCGGAAAGAGAATATATCCACGAGTTGACCCGGTTTGCTATTGTTCTAAGTGGTGATTAATCAATAGAGGTGAGTGTTTTGCTGATTTCACTGGTCATGTGATCTTATGTAGGTGGTCATTATGTTAGTCATTGACCGAGAGAATGACTGCATCCTTTTGGGTCGAAAATCAAGTTTTGTTCCAAGAATGTGGAGCTGCTTAGCCGGTTTCATAGAGGTGGATGCCTTCATCAACTTACAGACTATTATTCAAAGTCTTATGTTATAAGATTAACCAATATCTTATTCTTATTTATAAATCTAAACCGACCAAATAGAAGGTAAAATCATTGGAGTTTCTGTGCAACAATAGCAAATGGCATTGTAAACGGCCATAATTAAAACAAAAAATTAAAAAGGACAGTCTCCTGTCTGAGATTTAAGGAAGTTCTGTTCTGTAACGTCTGAAATTCTAGGATTTCTTTTCATTTTTTAAATTGGTAAGCATTGTGGGTGCAGATTGACCAAAAAACTTTAGGTTTTGAACTGTCGAAAGTTCAATATTCTCCTAAGAAGGAAAAAGCGATGTCACTAAAAACAGGTTACATTGGCTTGAGGATCAATTGTATGCATGGATAATTTCCTAGTTGTTTCAGTTCTAATCCTGTTTTTTTGGGGCAACATTTGTAAGCCTATATCCTCTTGTTGCATTTTAGCCTGGAGAAAGTTTGGAGGAGGCCGTGAGAAGAGAAACATGGGAAGAAACAGGCATTGAAGTGGGAGAGGTTGTATATCACAGCTCTCAGCCATGGCCTGGTATTACTTAAGTTGCATGTCTTGCAGTTAATTTAACTCCAAACTTTGATGTTTCTGTCATGCCGAAGGGTGGGGATGGGAGATACTCTTTCTTCTTTCTGTCACTGGGAGCCTGTCTGGTTGGATAATTTCTTGAAAATGCCCGAGACTCTGTGAGAGTAGCAATTTTTTAATCTGTTACAATGGATGACTATGCATACTCTTATTTGTACATTTCTTAAGAAAATTAAAATTATATGTTTCTCCCTATTTCTGTCAATTAATAATGTATTCTGCATTGGCTTTGTTCCTAGTTGGACCAAGTAGCATGCCATGCCAGCTGATGGTTGGATTCTTTGCATATGCAAAATCCCTTGACATCAATGTGGACAAGAAAGAGTTAGAAGGTACCTTGTGCATTATTAAGTTCTTCAATTAACTCTGTCGAAATCTTACCCAGTATCAATCTTACCAAGTGTTTTTCTTTCTTTCTTTGTCCCCATTATGGGATCTGCAACTTGCATGGGTAGATGCTCAGTGGTACAGTAGAGAAGCTGTGAGAAAAGCATTGACAGCGGCAGAGTACAAGAAAGCCCAAAGAACTGCGGCGTCAAAGGTTGAACAAATGTGCAAGGGGGTGGAAAAAAGTCAGAGCTTAACTGCAGGGTTTAACGTAGAAAGTGGTGAACTTGCTTCCATGTTTGTCCCAGGACCTCATGCAATAGCCCATCGTCTGATTTCCTCTTGGGCCTTCCAAATGTACCTTTTGGTATTCCTTGCGGTTGACAACAACCTACTGGTTCCTCTAAAATTTGTGGAACTGGCTGAAATTCGTTAGTTATATCTTCTCTTCAATTTGTTGTAAAGATTTTGTTACACTCTGCATTCTGCTTTACCATCTTCTCAGCTAGAGATCGTAATTTTTTTTTTAATTACAAGAGATCACATATGGGATTGAACCTGAGATTTAGTACTGATAAGTGATAAGGGCGAGTGGTATGCCCTGAGACAACAAAGTCAACAACTAGAGATCGTCATTTTATAATGGAGATACTATACTGCTATGGTTTCTTTCCTTAATTTATTATTCTTCTTTTTCTTGGCCATCTTGTTGGTCTCAATTTCAATGTAAACGTCCCTCTTGATTTAAATACAATCTAAATAATAATGAATTAGTTATAGAACAAATAAATAAGTCATTACAGTGTAGCCTTACTGCACAGTTTCTATGATGGACAAGATGCAATTAAACTTACAAAAGTATTTACTTTTTTTTTTTTGGCCAACGACTTACAAAAGTATTTACATGTCATGTTATTATTAAAAATTAAAAATTATACTTAAAATTTTGTCCAACCAAATATTCCATTAAATACCAGCTATTCATTGTTCAAGATCCTGAAATAACACCAGTTGGGCTAAATTCTGAAAATCAAGACATGTCCGTTCACACTACGCAATGGGGCGACAGGTTGCAAGAGTTCCTCCATTGAAATGGTATACACTTTGACTTGGCCCAATATCGCATCACCCAAACATGTGACCCATCGTCCATCACATTCTCGAATAGATTCAACGCACAGTGACATTTCCCAAACAAACGCCCCAAACAAGGGAGGCCCTTCTTCTTGTTTAGACAGTTGGCGTCCCCTAAAGTTGGAGTCTTGAGCTAGAGCCCTCTTTCCACTGATTCGTTTCTTGCCTCAGCAAACTGAAAATGGCGGCTTTCTTCCGAAGGCTGGCAAGAGCCACTCCGATTTCATTGACCAATGTTCTTGGTGGCCATTCCAAATCCAGTCATAGTGAGTTTCGGGTTCCTTTTGGTGCAGTTGCGGCGATCACCGGTGGATTCTCCTACTTGTACTATTATTCCTCACCCAACCTGGTAATTTCTTATGATGTCCTGCCCTTTTGTTTTTCTCATCTGATCGCTAATGCGATGTGCAGCAGTTGCTTGCTAGCTGATTTGCTGCTGTGTAATGTGAAATATATTATGCGACTTAAATTGTCATTCTCATGGTTTGAGTTGTTTTCTATGGATGAAATTGCGCTTGCTTATTTTTGGTGTATATTTTCGGATTGTTGGCGACTTGGCGGCTCGGAAGAGAGCTTATCATATCTGAAGTAGTTTGTTGCACTCGTACCTCTTGGGACGATCATTCGATGGATGAAAACAAGTGTCCCCCATGTCCGAGGGATATATGGCAAGAACGAAATGACGGAAAAAGAAACTCCGGGAAGATAACCGTAATGTCATATGTGATTAGGATTGTGCTGGTAATGAGATGAATTTAATTAGTTGGAACAATGTTGTCTAATAGTCATGAAAAATGTATGCTTAATATTTGGTCCAAATATTTTGAATGACAGCAACAGAATTTTTTTTTTCATCTTGAATTTGTAGTTTGTCTGAAATAACTGCCCCTTGTTTGCAGTATTTTATTTGAATTTTTTGTTCTAGTATCGGTTCTTGTCTGACCAGAATACTCAAGCCATGTCCATCTGTAGGTTCACTTGGATGAAATAAAAGAAGAGAAAAGTCAAAATATTGGTGAGTATCCTGTTCCTCTGTAGGTGAACATGTATCATTCAAGCACCCGCGTAGGTGAACATAATTATTTGTCACTTTCCATCATCGGTACAAATTTACTACAAGAACTATTTATTGTTATTACTTATCATTATAATGATTCATGGAGTTAGAGTCCTAAAGTCAATTCTCAAGAAACATTGTGGGAACTGCTTGTTTCTGAATCAAATATGGTGACAAAGATATTTCTCTTTTTTATATGATTGTTCTTAGTTTATGGCACATGTTAGTTGAGTTTGTTTTATTTCAAGTGTTTCATTAGGAAGATTGAGGATTTCTTCTAATCATTTCAGCTTTGGTTCCTGATAAATGGATCGAATTTAAGTTGCAAGACACTGCCAGGGTTAGTCACAATTCCAAGTTATTCAGGTATACTGTATAGGACAAACACAAATTATGAATTTTTTTTTTGTCAATGATGTTAAATGTATTGATCACTATCTGATTTTTCAGGGTGATGCCTCTTTTTTTTTTTTTTAATTTCCTCTGATTTTGTTGACTCGTGTCACTCACTTTTCAATTAAAAGGATGTAAGCCATATGAAATGTGCCTCCTTGTATCCAGTCGGTCAGATGAGTCACCATATCCTTTATGACATGCAGCTTAAGTTGATGTTCAGTCTTTCTGGAGAAAGTTGGATATAAATCAGTATTTCCCTGAGAGAAGTAATTAGGGAAAATATTTCAATCTAAATTGCAAACGCAAAGGCCTAAAATATATAACTTGAGCATAATCTTTTTAGCATTATACATGCTGTTAACATGAAGCGTTGGTCCATATCACACTTCTTTTGTAGATTTTTGTTATTTTAGTTGCTCCTCAGTAATTCTGTATGACCGTATGAGGATAACTAATTTGTTTATCATTAATCAATGTTGGATTTTATTATGAATTGTATGCTATAAATAGCAAATTGAAAGCAAGCTTTTTCATAATTCTATTACTTTCATGTATGTAAATGCCTCTCTACGTGTGATTCTGCTGCCTGCCTTTCATTTCAGCGTAACATCTCTCCCCTCTGTATTTCAGGTTTACATTTGATCCCCATAAGAAGCTGGGTTTGGATGTTGCCTCTTGCATTCTTACACGGTTTATTACTGTTTATAATTCATGTGGTTTTACGATATAATGTAGAATTTTAAAATATGTTTCACTGTGTTGTGCCCTCAAATCATCCCTGAAATTGCAGGGCTCCATTGGGACCAGATGCTGAAGGAAAACCAAAATATGTCATTCGTCCGTAAGTGTTTTTGCTAAGTGATTATTTCATTGTCCTTCTTTGAATCTTGTAGCGTAAAATTAATTTTTGAACTGTGTATTTTTACACCATTACCACATCCCCTTACACTATCTTGTCAGAATGTAACAAAGATTTGCCTTATACTAGCACCAGAAAATAGAACAGCAATAAATATGCTTTGTAACGTATTGCCTTGTAGACTGTAAAGGTTTTATCCTTTTATTACGAGAGCTAGTTGTATGTTGGCACTTTTTTCTTTATATTCTTTTTGGTGCACTTGGGGGTAATATGATGGTGTTAAAACGTCTGAAAGTAAGAAAGCAAGGAGCAGAGTTCTCCATGATGTTAACTCTGGCACAGTCGGCAAATACGGAAGCACCAAACTAGAAAGTACAAGAAGCTTTGCTATTATGATTTACAGTCAACGCATGACTTATTTTTACTTTTCTTTCATTTTGTATCCTTCTAAGGTGGAATATTCTTGTTATAATTAGTTGCTCCAATGTAATCTAAAATTGATTTTAGTCTATGTCAATGTAGGGAATTTTTTTTTTTTTTTTATCATAATCAGTAATAGTCTAATTTGGTTGAGGGAAAGGATGGAAGTAGAAGTTTGAGAAGAATAAAGTACTAAAGTTTGCTCTTAATTTGGATGTCATGTTTTAGATACTTTAATTTCTTTGCTAGTCATTGGCCTTTCATAGAGGTTGATTTAAGAAGGTATTTATGTTTCAAACTCCAGGTATACTCCTATATCAGATCCAGAATCTAAGGGATACTTTGATTTGTTGATCAAGGTATGTCACTCATTAGGGGAGTTACAGTTCATGTCTTATTATTTATTATAGTCCGCAACTAAGAGAGCTGCTTGAATGCTTTATATTTCAAATTGTTGCAGGTGTACCCTGAAGGAAAAATGAGTCAGCATTTTGCAAGCCTGAAACCAGGCGATGTGGTTGAAGTGAAAGGGTATATCATTTGCAAGAGCCTTAAAAGATCGACTGAATACTTCTCCTGCCTTTAACTTTATATGTGAATGTTATCGCTTTTTCCAGGCCCATTGAAAAGCTCCGATATACGCCCAACATGAAGAAGCATATTGGCATGGTAAGTCTCTTGATTATGGCATTCGTTGGCGGTGATGAAATCTGGGGTTCAGAATTGAACTATCGATTATCATGATTTAGATTAGTCAGCAGTGTTTTTTTTTTTTTTTTCATGTTTGTGAATCTGGTGGAGGGTCCAACTCGTACTTGTTAGTGGCAGGTCATGGCATGCGGTGCAGTGCTTGCCATGCAACAATTATGATCTGTCTAAATTCGAATGGCATGCTATGGCCACTATGTTGTAGCTCGAATCATTGCACCTCTTATTTTCTTAAACCCTTTTCTTTAAAGAAGGATATGATTTTCTTCGTCATTATGCAAATAACTAAGGTGTAGAATGCTACTTGTAAAGTTTCTTCAATGAAAATTGCCTGCCACTGTTGTTCCTTGTCCTCACTACGTACTAAATTAGAGAAAGAACGTGAAATGAAATCACTAGCTTGACTGGGTGGTATGTGAGGAGTAATATATTAATGCTTGATACAATTGTGTTTTTTGGATTATTACGGGGTAAAATGAATTAAGGTGTTCATTATTGTTTTATTTGGGCACTGTTTGATATTTTAGAATTTATAATGATATGAACAAGGCATTGCAATATTGCAGTGCACAAATTTCCAGAACCCTTTTCTAAACGTTGCAACATGCATCATTAAAAATTATTATTGTTCCAATAATCCAATTCTCTTATCTATGTCTGGGGCCTCCACTCCCCCCCCCCTTCCTGTGGGGCGAAAATGCACTTTGTTGTTTCTATTTACTCATTCTTTTGTTGATTGGCATTTGATTATAGAATTTTAACCATACTAGCCGGTGACAATGACACATTCTCAAGCTATGCATACTTGGTCTTTATTAATCCGCTTTTTATTGTGCCACTCAGATTGCTGGAGGCACAGGAATTACTCCAATGCTTCAGGTAATTGAAGCTATATTGAAGAATCCTGACGACAAAACTCAGGTAGGTTATGGGTCTCTTTATTTGCGCATACTCCATCTTTCCATATGATATGCAGCCTGCTTTTCCCAAATATTTTCTGAAGTTAGATTGGGAACTAAACATCATTTAAAAAAAATAAATTATAAAGCGATATCAGTACATCAGTTACATATGTCTTAGGGCATCAGCAAGGTGGTCGTTGGTCAAAGGACCAGAAATTTCAAGGCAAATTATGAGATACTGTAGCCAAAATATAAGCACATTCTGGGGCCTCCTGTAGACAAATTTAACCGATATTCGTAGTCTCTAGCGAAGTAAATATTTTATGATAAAGATTTTAGTTTTCTGAATCTTTTTTGGAAAATTGACTCGTATTTTCCATATTCCTTTTGGGTCATTTTCTTCATGCCAAGTTCTTTGCTTTTGTTATATCTAACAAACGTGAGAAAATCAGAACTTATGGTGGCCTTTTACCTTTACAGATATCATTGCTGTATGCTAATATCTCTCCAGATGACATCCTCCTCAAACAAAAGCTTGATGTTTTAGCAGCTAGCCATCCTAACTTAAAGGTAATGTTATTTCCTAACTAGTAATTATTTATGCTCCAAAGTCAAATCTCATTGATCATCGGATTAATGTAATCTTGTTGACAAAATTTACAGGTATTCTACACTGTAGATCATCCAACGAAGAATTGGAGAGGTGGCGTAGGTTACATATCAGAGGACATGGCTGAGAAAGGCTTACCTGCTCCTGGCGATGATACTCTTATCCTTGTAAGTTTAGCTGTTATGAACATATCCATAAAAAGATTCTAAATAAGATCTGGCACTTGCTTTGGTTCCTTTCTTCATACATTGAAACAATGTGAATCTCCAAGGATATTAAAATATGTTTTCTTTTATATTTATTGTTTAGAGCATATTTAACTATCCCTACTATGGAATGTCTGGAACTTCTGGTTGACCTGTTATGAGCCCCTTCAAAGCCAATTGAGGGGCCATGACAAATATACTGCTTTCCAAGCTTCAGAAGGCTTATGCAGCTAATCTTGATCGCCACCTAAAGATTTAGGATAATCGTCGACTTATTACACGATTTGAGATTATTTGAATCTTTCTGGGACATCATTAAGTTATGCTTTTCTTACATGAGTTACAGTTATTCTATTTCCTGGTCGGGCATTGATTTATTGTTGTTATTTGGAAAAGCTATCATTAGAATTGTTGTGGTTTCAAAGATTTTCGACTAATGTGACCTATTCCTGCATGTATCAGGTGTGTGGACCCCCAGGCATGATGCAACATGTATCTGGCGAAAAGGCTAAAGACTGGACACAAGGAGAGGTATAAAACTGTCACGTTTTAGTTGTCCTGGATCTAAGTTTTTTTGGGACTTCATCCAAGCGTAGCAACTGGTGGTGCCACTGGGGTAGCTTGTCATTGGCACAAAAATCCAGATCTAAGTTAGTGCTCTTTATGGATGATTGTCTGCAGGTTTCTGGCATACTCAAAGAGCTTGGATACACTGAGCAAATGGTTTACAAATTTTGAGAAATATGAGATTGTAGCATCTGATCTGAGCACCTGTGGGTACAGAATTTGTAGAATGAAGTGATTTTCTTAACAAAAACAGCTGGCTGCGGATGAATTCAAACATGGAATAAGTCCTGAACTGCATACCATAGATAGAGAAATGATGATGATGATTGTTCTGAAGTGGCTTTTTTGAATTCTGAAAATTTTTGTAGTTGGCCATTCGGTTGTTCATGGCCTGAGCATGTGGCTGTCAATAAAAGATATTCCCTCCTGGGCTTAACTTACTCTCCCCACCCACTCTTGAAACATCTGTTTTTCAAGAAATTTTAGATGCAGTTTCTAGTATACTTCTAATAGTTAAAATGTGAATCTACTCATGAAATATGTGCAAATGTGCACTTGGTATTGTAATGTTCAACTGGGTGCAAAAGTGCATTACAAAAGTGTGCAAAAATGTCATAATTGTTAATTTAAGCAAATGTTTGTTAACTTAAAGCATAAGCGGACATGGGTTTTACCATTAAAACGTAACAGTATGTTTGCTTAAATAAATGGCTGTGCATTTTTGCACCTAATTGAATATTATGGTTTGCATTTACAAATACTTCATATGTAGATTTATACCTTAATTATTTTTAATAAAAACATGAAACTGTTTTTCATAGCTTGGTTTTAAATTATTTTTATGGAATAATTCTTTTTATTGGCCATGGCCAGCAGTCATATTAAGGGAGGGTCAATTACATGTGCACCTTTATTAGGCTTTCAAATCGAAAACAAGTGACTTAATTTACTTAAAATTACTCTCTCCTGTATTTTTTTAATGTAATCTTTAATTATTTCTCTCTTATCGTATTTTTTAATCTTTTTTCTCATTCATTATAAGAACATATTTGGTAACAAAAATATACTTCTAACATATTCATTATTTTTTTAACTAATTATTTATTATTTATAACTGATAAATTAATTATTTGAAATTTATAGTAAGGATTAGCAGCCTCAGTTTCGAAATTCGGATGTCTATTCTAATCTATTCTAATCAGCTGAACAAAGAGGCGCTGCCCAAAAATTATTATTGACATCCAGATGTGTGGAAGCGGTATCACACATTCACACTCTGTGTGCGTGCAGGCCCCGTAGCATTTCCTTTTTTTCATTTTTTGTTGTTGTGCTCTTTTTTTTTTTCGAGTGAAAAGGGGATGCTTTATTAAAATAATAAAGTACAAAGCCGGTTACAAATACAAAAACAAATGTTAACAAGACTATCCTATTCGCATGCTGTGGCGGAAGTGTCTAGCTCGCTCCACGTGGCCTGGGATAATATTTTTTTTCATTTTTTGTTGTTGTGCTTTCCACGTCGGAATGATATTTATCACATGGGATCCTTTTGTATGTTGCTACTCATACTAAAGTAAAGTAACTAGTATTAATAACATTACTATTATTAAAATTGGAATATAAGATATAATAATTCTCATTTTATTTTTCATTTCACCAAATAAGCAGCACCGTTATATACTAGTATATACTCGTCCGGTTTTATTTATAAAACAAAGAGAAGATATTTTTAGTCTTATTTATAGGATATTAAGAGAAATTTTTATATGAATGTACAATTTTATCTTTTATTTATTATTGTATTGACTTTAGTTATATAAGTTATAATGTATATTAAATAATGATAAAATTACAAAGCTGTTAAATTTTAAATAAGAATTAATGACATTTATTTTTTTATCTGTGTAAAATATGTTAAAAGTGACTTATAAATAAGACCAAAATAGTAATCTTTGACAGCAAATTTTTTTGGCAAAAAAAAAAAGACTACTTTTTAATACAAGAGCAAGTAAACAACGAGAAAATAAGATAATAAAAAACAACAAAAATATACTTGTAGATTTTTTTAACTTTATATAATGTTTCATTTTGATTCTTTAAGTAAAGAAAGGAGAGTATATTTTTAATCTTGTAAGGCTAAAATCGATAAAAAAAAAGAAAAAGAAAATAATGACATGAAAATCTCAAATGTCAATAAAATATTTTTAAATATTTATACATTAAATTTAAGTTTCAAGATTATTACAAAAAAAAAACTAAAAATTTTATGATTAAAAGGTTAAAACTATACTTTTTTAAAAAAAATTAATGAATCAAACTTAAACTACTGAGAAAGCCTAACGTAAATTGACCAGAATGAGACTACTAATTCCCAATTCCAATATTGCTTTGCGATTCTGCCCCACTTCATTTTTTTTTTTAATAAGTTTTTTGGAGGGCTGAGCCCCACTTTTCAATATAATAACAGTGAAAGTTGCTAACTTGACCCTAAAAATGACATCATTTTAAGCCAGTTGAAATCCTACAGTTTTAATTATAAAACCTTATTTATAGTGTACAAATAAAATTTTATAATTAGTATCAGAGGTAATATTAACCTTGGTATAACTGCTCCAACTTTTGGTGAAATTATCACCTCACGTTTGAGATTGGGTATAATTTCGGTTTGTTCATATAATAAAAAATATCTGATTTATGAAGACCAAAAAATTAGTTAAAACTAGTATTATTTTCACAAGTATGTCAAAAAGTGTAATCTTTTTTACAAAATGCCCGAATTAATTTTGAATTTTTATCAAACATTTGATAACACTCATAGTATAAATTTATATTTAATGAAGGACATGGGAAAAATTTTTTAATAAATGAGATAGATACAGGAAACTAGTCTATGCATTGTATTTAAAATAAGAAGGAACTTCCTAGAATTTTTTATATACCCTCAACATTAAGATTCGATGGTTTAAATTTAATTAATTTATTTCTATAGGTACAAAATTGAAAGTAAAAAATCTTCTCATTATTTTTTTCACCACAAATAAATTTATTATTTAAAAATCATAAACCTAGTACCATTTAAGTCAGAGTTAAATGGTCGAAATCTTATCAGATCAACATTCATCAAATACAACGAGGAGTACCTCATTTGCATTGAACGCAAATAAGGCTGGTTCATGTATATACATTTCAGCACTAAAATTCATACGAAGAATCAATTCATAAAAAACAAAACTAATTAAATACAGTGACATTGAATCCCATCACATCCTAAAAGCAGTCATTTAATGAGTTCCCAGTATAACTTCATTTCACTTTATTTGCAAAGAATCTGCAGCATTTATCCCACCAAAATCCCACAATAAATTCCCCCATTAATTGCCTTCCTATATTTCTTATTCCTTTTGTAAATTATATTTATGTGAAGCCGCTTTCTCATTCACAAAACCAAACGATCCAAAAGGCCTTTTTAGAATCACCCTTCAACCATATATCAAGTTCAACCCAGAAAAATGGCTGAGCTGAAGAGGTCAGTGACATCCTACAGAAGATCAGGCTCTTCGGGAATGGTATGGAATAACAAATCTGTGTCTGATGAGTTTATTAGAGACACTAATCATCAACCAAATGCTAATCATGGAGGCGATGATGAACATCAAAAAGTGGTGGAACCCAGAAATCTAAGGCAGTCCAGAAGTGTTGGAGCCACCGCGGATTTGGTTCGCCGGAGCCAATCCACCGGAGAAACCATATACTACCGGAAGGTCAAGGTTGCGCCACCGTCCAGGGATCCTCCTTCTCCTAAGCTATCAACCTGCGGATTCTTTTGCTTCCCTGTAGTTACTACCCAGCATGTATATTTTAAGTCTAAGAAACGTAGGTGATGTTCAATTTTTTTCCCTTTTAATTTCACTTTTGAAGTGTCTTGCTAGATTGCTTGGTGATATGTGCATGTTGTCAATACCTTTTCGTTTCATGTGTCTGATCTTTACGTTGGAAAATTATCCTGTAAGTACTTGAAAATCTTTATAACTTATCTCAATTTTAAATCGTGTAACATTCGTGAAATTTTATAAATTAAAATTAATGATTTTTACACGCAAAGATGAATGACTATAACAGACCAAATTATAATAGTCCAATTTGAACAAAATAAGTTATAAGAACTTAATTCAAAATTGAAATAAATTATAGCTACCTACAAATTAATTTTTTATATCTTCCTTTAATTTTTGTCTAATTGCTTCTGTCATTAGCCTCATAGGCCATCACTTTGCTTATACTTTATAGTTTTATTCTAATTGAGCAACTGAGCGTGATGAACGGGACATTGTGTGATATACTACTATAAATGAGGAACTGTTCGTCATGCCAATCCAAAATGTGAGTAATTTTTCATTTAATTTTTTTTAATGGTTTGACATCGAAATTTAAACAAATTTTCATATAAAATATATAATCTCCAGTCCTTAATATAAGATCTCGTTTGAGTTTTATTTTAATCTTAAATATAATACCTCAATTCATATTGTCTCTCATATTTACTTATTCTTTTCAAAATAATCCTTGTAATAATAATAGTTCTAGCCAATATATTTGATTAGTAAGAATATTTTAGGAAAGACAACACATATTTATTACAAATAATTAACTTAAGTAATTTTTTTAATTTACTCAAATTAGTCAACTAACTATTATATTAAGAACCAGAAGTAGTCCTAACTTACAGGTATTGTTTTTTTTTTTTCATGTCTACTTCTAGAGAATTTTCTCTCCAGTCCTCTTGATTTTCTTTTTTGAATTTTTTTTTTAAAAATTGGGTGAGTTAAGTTCCGAAATTCACTAAATTTAGGATAAAAAGGTACTTACAGATCATCCATTAATAAGTCACGATATTGCCAATAAGATTTGAACTCATAATTGCATGAGTGAACTCATTAACTAATTAATTAGACTAACCTTTAAACGACACATTGTGATTTGGAGCATTTCTGGGCCCTCAAATTCAAAAAGGAAGATTTGACCCAAAAAAATCCAAAAAGAAAGGGTTTGGCAAAGAAAGATGGTGGCGTATATTAGGGACGTTTAATTAATGGATTAGTACGAACAAGAAAATTAGTTGCCGGGATATCTAATTTTAGGTCCAATATTTCCAGATTCCATAAATTAATGGAATTAGTCATTAGCGATGGGGATATCCGAATATGAAAAAGAGATCAGCACAAAAAACTAACATGGCTTTGGATTTCTTCACCTGTGTTGAGATGAAAATGAAATCATGATTTTATGATAAATAAACTAAGTATATGAAAAAAAAAAATTTATCTCGGTTTGCATAGAAGCATTTTTTTAAAGTATTTTCAATGTTATCAAACACCTTTTTAGATATAATGGAAGCTAATTAAGGGGGTATTTGGAGATCAAGAAAATTGTTTTTTAAAAATATTTTTCTGTAAATCGAGATAAATTCATCCACATGTTTACTTTATATACTGTAAAATTACTTTTAAAACTATGTATTTTATTCTATCCAAATACTTTTTAGGTTGAGCGTGATTAAGGATATAATTTGTAATTAAGATCAAGCATAAGAAATCTGAATACAAACTGGCCAAAAAAAAAAACACAAAACAATCTGAACACAGAGAATGTCAGTACTTTTTGGACCAAAATCAGAGAATGTCATTGTTCAACTGGTACTCCTCTGTCAATTTTGAACTAATTTTTAATTTTAATGTAATGCCTCTAGGTCTCAATATAAGACTTAGTTAATAAATTTAAGAAAATTAAAGTAGCTAAAGAATTATCTAATTATAGCATATATTACATAATTTTTTTAAAATAATTATGTGTATTGTTAAATTATATATTAATTTATAAATCAAACAAATTAGTTTGAAGAAAAATAATAAATATAATATTTTAAGTAATTTATTTAATTCCCTCAATTTTCTAAAATTAGTCAATTAAATTTTAAATTAAGAATTAGATATAGTAATTTTTACTCTATGATTAAATAGTATCCCATAAATTTATATATAATACTATCTCCGATTCTTAATATAATAGCTGTATAACTAAGTTTTGAATTAAAAAAATTAGTAAAGCTAATTTGCTAATGTTAACAAAAAAAGCCATATATCCTGAAAAGCAAATTCTTGGACAAGTATTGGCAACATAGAGTTTAAGCTCAAGAGCCTAGTCCAAAGAGAAAGGCAGAGATTCAAAAGCCAAAAAGCTATATGAAGATAAACAGATTCAAATTCTCAAGTTATTCTGTACGTGACGGAATTTTGCAGTCATGGAATACAAACGAAAGGCCTTCTTTGAAAAAGTTAAAACTTCCCACACCTAATAAATCCCACTCACTAACTCATAAAAAAGACAGTGCTCCATGGGAATCAAACTCACTGAATCTGCAATTACCTCAACCAATGGAAATCCAAGGCACGAAGCTAGCACTCACTTTTCAAAAATTGAAACTTTCTCACATTATATAGGATACCCCTATATAAATGTGTATTTCAATTTTCAAATACCAAACATGAATTTCTTAAGAGTTTTATTACTTATCTGTAGCCGAATACCTACCTGCTTTTCTGGGAACTTTGAATTCTCTTTGACAGATACATGCATTCCCTATCACTGGGTTTGAAAAAGGAATCATGGTAGGAATTCAATCCCATCTCTATTCCCCTGATGGGAAACAGAAGTGAGCATTTAACTTTGATGATCAAATCAGAGAGATTTCCAGAATCCTAGAAAGCCTCACTCACTATTAAGATATCATTTCTGCAGAAGAGGGACCACAGCATCAGCAGGAATTAATAATTGGGCAAAGCCATAACCACTTGCTACCACAAACAGAAGAAGAGAACAAGAAAACAAAATGCCAAACCTATGCATTTTGTAATTTATATTCCTTTCTAAGAGTGTTGTTAATTCTTGTTAGCTCATACACTCTTGGTAAAATATCAGTTTCCCTTTGTATTTTCTACCATATTTCATCAAATGTTGCTTTCACAGCATTTATGTCCTACTTTAGTAGTTGTGAGTCATGAACCATTTTCCAGTTATGCCTGTTTATATATCCTGCCTAGGGACTCCCCTTTATGGCTATAACATCTCTCTTGAGGGACAAGTAAAGCAAAGATTGTCAAAAAGGAAGCACTTTGTTGGTCTCACTACTCACATACTCACAGTAAGGATTAGTTTAACTTTTAGGGGTAGATGCATGAGGTCTAGTAAACCTAAGTTTGCTTTTCCATTAATTGAACCAAAGCAGGTAGAGTTCATATATATAAAGGAGTCTCATTTACCCTCTGAACTTGCACTCCTTGATCTTCTGGATCTCTTTCTTCCTCATATATATCGTCAGTTTGTGGCTCTGCATCAGAATTATGGAAGTTGCAGAAATGGGAGTTCCTTGCAGCCCAAAACAGTGAGTGAGATGTTCTTGCTGCGATTTTGGACTGAAGGGAGCTCCTACTTCTTCAACTTCGATCTGTCAGCTGATCAGAGATTTCAAGTTTTTGAAGAAGAACATATATGTTATCTGTAAGTTTTGTCTTCTTGAGAAGGTGCTTTTCTTGTTAATCAGGCTCAACCAGTAATCATGAGCTTTGCCAAATAGATTATAGTAATTTCACACAAACAGGTATGGTACTAAGCTGTTCAAGAGCTGAACCACTGTACAGAAAATAGAAGTGATGTTTTTGTTGCTGTGTAGAATATTACATGTAAAATTCTCTTTCTTTACTGAAAATTCAAGCTTAGAAAGAGTCTCATGTAGATCTTATATGGTACTTGATTCTAAGCTTCATTGGAAGTTGGGACTATTTCATGTTTCTTAATTTCATTTCAAATTTTGAGTGGAATTGTGGCTAAGGATCACCTCAAGTCCCCAAACCCTCATCCCCAGAAAAAGACCAAAAGAGGAAACCAGACAAGAAACTTGTGGAAAGTTTCATAAGCAAGTCTTCTTAACCACTTGAAAACACATAATTTTTGGCCCCTCCAAATCACGATTTATATTATTCTCTTGTACAAGAGTCTACTGGGAATCTGAAGGCAGCCATACCACAAGCTATATATCGCAATATAATAGAGGACATAAAAGAGCTTACCTGTGAAGGGCGGATATATATGTCTAGACATATAAACACAGAGAGGGATGCTTTAAAAAGAAGCTTATGGCCGCCGATCTTGGAACTTCTGGGTATTCTCGTCAGGTAATTTAGAGCTCTTGTAATAGTAAAATGGGAATTATGCGACAGTATGAAGGATCTGAATCTGAATGTAGTTGAATGAGGCGTAAGCTAATGACATAATTGAAGTAAGTTGCGCAGATGATGATTCATAATTGTTTAGATTATGGCTCAAAAACCTATGATTTATTGAGTAATAAATATAAGAACTAGTTGAAGATTTAATTTATTTTTTTAAATATAAGACCTCAATCCATTTTTTCTCCAATATTCATAGCAATTGCCCATGTTAAAGGATTTTTATTCTAATGTATATGATTAAAAATGGTATTTCAGGAAAAAAAAAACAATATTCATTTATTACAAATAACTAACTTAACTAATTATTTTAATATTCACAGATTAGTTATGAGGCTCTTATATTAAGGATGGATTGGAGTTAGTACTTAGTATTCACATTAATATTTTCGTTTTGTTAAAAGCTATATATATACTCCATTTAAAAAAAAAAAAAAAAAAAGCTATACATGTACACTCTCTGACTTTATAGAATTGAGATCATCAGTGTAAACTTTATTTCTCAGGACAAATTTTTTCCCCTCTTATTTCACTTCTGTATAATTTTAATTATTTGATTCTTTTTTTTTTAATCCTCTTCTGCAATCCTCAACAATAATTAAGTTATAAAAAGAAAATAGAACTCAAATCCAACGCAAAACAGAGCAAGCACGTATAGACAAAGGTATTTGCCTGCGTTTTCGCATCATGTTTTGCGAGTGGGTCGAATCTTCATTTTCCAAGGGGTTAAGGTTCATCAAGAAATCTAAAGAATTAATCTAAGTGTGTCTAGTATCATAAAATATTTTGTAATTTATCAAATGCTCTGAAATATTATTTTTAAGTGTATCTGGCATTTTAGAGTATTTTTAATCTTTCTATACTATCAGGTATTAAGTGTGGATACTTCTCCTAACAAAGATTTTAATACTAGTTCATTATGTTTTTTTTTTTTTATAAGCTATTAGTTCATTATGTTATAAGAGAATAACTTTAACTAAACGTTAAATTTGAAGCGTTTTGTTTTATATGGTAAGGTCCACTATCATGGACTGGATCTGCAAAATCCAACAACCTGGGCCTCACCCAAGCTTAGACAACGATGTTTGAAGCAGTTTATGCCATTCATATTTCATGCCAATTGCAAATGCATGTGTTTGACGCATACGTATCGAAATATACAAGACGCCAATTTTAAGAATATCTCTGTGCTATCATCTCCCAACACATGGCCTTGTGGGATTATGTATATATAATCGATCGTCATTTCGATCGAACCAATGTCTGCTTTGTTTATGAATTTGATTAGATGGATGCCCAGAAAGCGACACAATGTGCCCACACGAAAATTTAAAAAAATAAAAAAGGTGAAAGCAGTCATTCACTCATTCTTCATAGGTCGTGGGCAGAGTAATTTTTTTTTAAAAAAATCAAATATATATCAAAGACATTAAAATGTGTTTTACTACTGGTTACTATTACTAGTATTTATTTATAAGGGACTGTTTGGTTTGGGAAAAAAACATTTTCAAAAAGTATTTAAGTAAGAGTAAAACTTCTCTTACATACTCATTTCATATATTGTAAAATTATTTCTAAAATAATAATTTGAATTCCAAGCAAACACTAGCTAAGTCATAATAGTTCAAGTTTTTATAAAAAAAAAAATGCAAGTTATGTTTTGAATCTGCATATTAATTTTATAGTTAAACAATTATTCATGAAGGAAGATAATTTTTTTCTCTTAACGAAAGATATTTTTAGCCAAAGCTTTGGCACTGTATTTTCACCCTGTCGAAAGAACCAAAAAAAAAAAAGCAGTGGTCTTTGATTATTTTCATTGCAAAATTTATTGTTAAAAGGTATCCAAGAATTCAAGTTTCTAGACGGTGTAATTCATTTAAAATTATTTACAAAAAATTTATGTGAATTAAATTCTAAACATACTTCTAAGCTCAGAGAATATTTATAAAAAATATTGACAGTAATTCATTGTAAGGGGTCTAAATCTTCTTTAACAACATGTATTCACCTTTGTGAACATGTAAGCTAAAAAAAATTGCATGTAAGTACTTAAACAAATTTTGTGATATGAGATTTGTATGCAATTTTTCAATGGATTATTTTCACATTAACAAGGAATACAATTTAAATTTTAAAAATATTTTTAAAAAAAAGGGTCTGAAAGGCTATAATCAAAACAGCTCCAGGAAACGAATCTCCAACCCCCCACGCTCCTCGTCAAATCCTCTTTTTGATGGAAGGATAGCGAAAATCAGATACCTCGTCGCCGTCATCTTGCTTCACAAAAGCCCGACGCATGCACATTCTCATCCATACGACTAAGGTACCCTTTTGGGTTTCGTCACAATTACAATAGCCCAAGCTTTTCATTCATTACCGGAGTCCCAGAAACCAAGGAATTTCCCATGTTGGCGTTTCCAGTAACTATAATCGCTTTAAAATGGGGCTTCTGGTTTTCTCTCGGAAATGGTCTTCAGTTTTGCTAGATTATTGAATTCATAATGCGTTTTAGTGATAATTCATGACCCAACATTCTTAGGTTGTCCTTCGCGGCGTCATGATGATTCATAGACCTCTGTGAAGTCAATCTCCCATTGGTGTGCTTGCCTGCTCTTTCAGAAATTAGCTGATTTTGAATCTCGTTCAAGAGAACATCATTTGGGATTACCCTGTAATTAAATATTAGCGAGTAGTGATCACTACGAATTCTTGGTGACAAAATTTCATTCATCCTGAGGCAAATTTGATTTGCTCGCAATTGCTTGCGTGGTTTGCGGAATTCAAAGAACCGAATTACAGAGGTTTTGGTGATACTGTGTGGGGGGTTTCTTTTAGTTCCAATGTCGGGTGGATCACCGGTTGGGGGAGGTGGATTTATGAGGCAGAGACACAGCCAAGGGTATTCAAGCAGTGGTGATGAGCTTGAGGACGATGCATGCTCGAGGCTGCGTCCTTCTTCGCCTCCAAGTCCTAGATCAAGGACGTGGATCGAAATTCTGGAAAATTTTCTTTGGCTAGCTTCGGCGGCTTTCATCATATATTTTGGTGATCAGCGTTCCAATTTGATATATCTCCTCTTCCACGACGACAGGATCAGAAGGTAATAACTCGCCCGATCACCACCGGCCCCCGCCCTCAAAATACCCTTTTTCCTTCTTTTCATCTCTGCCAAGAGCATATTCATTTGTGTTTTGTTGGGTCTTTTTTCTTTTGTTATTGAAAATCTCGAGAATGTACTCTATCTGGCTCTAACATTGCTTTCTATGGTGATTGGTGCATTGTGTTTTACTCAGCGAAAGTAAACGAATCAATACCATAAATAGAAAGCTATAGTAAATACTTGTTCATTTAGCTTGCATGTGTTTCTTTTTGCTCCCTATTTCTTTGTACTGGAAGGAGAATGTTCTTTTCTTCTTCTTCTCAATTACTGTTTTGCTGATAAACGGAAGACTGGGCCACACCCGGGGACACACCCCTGCATGCACGATGGTTTCTATTCTAAACATGTCCAGCTCATTTTATTTGAGCTAAGAAAATAATTTTTGTCTTTGTTTCTATTTTACCCTGTTGCCAGTATAGATAGGTAGAGCATGCTACTTATGCACTATCATTGGTAGTATATTGTTTCACAGCGTGGGCACTATTCACTGTCACTTTTGATTGGAGGTAAATTATTGAACATGTTGAAAAGGATTGCTATCTATGATTGTAAGCTGTTTCAATATTATTGAAGACTTTTAACTACTCAAGTTTTGCCATATTGATCAGTGCTTGAAGATGTTCATGTCTATTAAAATCACCATATTGTGAAATTTGAAAATCGGGTTAGGGATATTGGTTACTAGTGTTGCATTGTGCTTTTATATTCAATTGCTGGAGCTATACATAAATTGACATGTTATATTCAACTGCTGGAACTATGCATAAGGCGTAAAAATGATAAAGAATTATATGAATAGCATATTACATCCTGTTTCATTGTTGAGTATTTAGGTTTTAGATTTTTGCCCTCCTGTTGATGGAAAACTCTTTATTAAATTGTCGTCCAATGGTCATATTTACCACCTTTTGGTTTATTTGCGTCTTGTTAACAATATTGGCCTTTTCATTTGGAAAAACACCTGCTATAGATATAATATTTGTCAAAAAGTTAACGTTCCGGAGATGATAAGATTTAGCTCAGGGTGCTGTTATATTACAGGATCACATTATTGGTTAATCTTGCACGTAAGCCCTTGTGCCCTGGTCTCAATATATGTATTTCCCTCCAGTTGGAGCATGACCACTAGTAGTTTTGATGGCAAATTTCATGTTGAAAATTAAACCATTTTATTATGAAGAAACATTAGTTTTAATGATGTACAGGTTGAGTATGATTTTGCCTGTTTGAAGATTTATGAATTCAGAATAATGAGGATATCTGCAAACTCCTTGTTGCTATGGATTGAGTGATTAAATTGTTGGCTTAAATCAGTCTGCAAGAGTCATGGTTCTCCCTATTTTTCTTGCAGACTGCCTCTATATCTTGGGATGATAGGTGTTGGTCTCAATGCTCTGATTTTCATTTATACAAGCATCTTGGCATGGAGCGTCCGAAGACTTGATGAAAAATGGGGACTGAAAAAGTGGGAAGTGACAAGTGTCACCTTTTTGCCATTTGTAACCGTATTTGGAATCATCTCTTTTTGCTTGTAAGCAATTGTTATTTCTTAATTCCAGTGCATTGTATGTTAAACAATTTGAGTATGCCACCCTGTGACTGATTCCTGTCCCTTTCCAGGTTTTCCTTTGCTTTGTGGCCAATCTGGAGTTTCTTGACACTCCCTCTCCTGGTATATTGACAGTTTTGCTTTACTTATACCTCCTACTTGTTTTCTTTTTGACCGAAAGGTAAAGTTGTGACTGAACTACTTTTGTTGCTCTTGTACCGCAGTTTACCCTTTTCATGGCTTCCATGGTAATAATCCCATATCTTGTATTTGGGATGTTTCGGCCGCAATACGATGAGCAGCTCCGTACAGATTAACCTCATATGATTCAAATGAGGAATATTACTGACATAGGTGAAGAGTTTCTAACCCAAAAGTCGATGATCCGTAGCCACGGCTATGTAGATTGAAATTTTGTCTGAGTATGTGCGGTGTGGCATGCTGTGTTTTCGAAACTGGTGTCAAGTGTCAACTGCTTTCTGTAAGAGTTCAAAATCTTGTTACCGTGCAAAGCACGTTGCTTAAGAATCATAGGATGCCAGTTGATCGCAGTTTCTGGGCTTCTTGACAGAGAAAAAGGATTTAGGTGCATTAATAGGCGATAGGATGGCGTAACGTAGCAGTTTTGCAAGATTAGTTTGCGTAATGCTAATTGCAGTTTTGCTTATTGATGCCTCTTTTCAAGTTTTTCATCTTTTTAATTTTTGGCCAACGGATCTCTTCAAGTCTTCATAGTATTCTGTTATATGCTAACCAGATAATATTTGGGCGAAGCACTAGTATTTCATCCAGCCCAAGCACGTATCATGCTGAGAAAAAATGTGTCCATTTGATCTTTTCGATATCAAATTTTGTTTTGCTATAGACTGGGGAAATACTTGGGCACTAGGATTGACCCTGGCCTAAGCAGGAACATGATCTCTGATAAATTCATTGAAAAAAAAATGATGCAAAATTTATAATCACAATGAAGAATGGCTGAGCAAATTATGCTGTTTCTAGAGCCGCTGGGAAGACTGCAAGATGGTAGCGCTGACCTTTGACTTTGTGGTTTGGATCTGGCTTTTGCCATTTGGGCAAGCAGTAACAAGTCAACAACTCATAAATTACCACCCACTCAAAAAGGAAGATTTCAGGTTTCAGCCTATACTTGCCTGGGGAAGGAGGAAGTGTTTTCATGGTGGTTGTACCAGTTGTTGAAGCTGAGCTGTTCTATTCGGTTTGTTTGCCAAACACGATAATGCAATTAACCAGCACTGTTGAGGTCCCACGTGTATAAATCACTTTAGTATAATGTAGTTAACTTTTTATTCAAAAATGAGGGGCAAGAAAGAGAGGAGGCCAAGAATTTGTTTGATTTTATTCACTATTTTTATATTTTAAGGACAACTTTAGAGTAATTTTTGGAACAAATTTTTAAAATTAAAATTTAAAAATAATTTTATATTATTAAATTTTTAAAAAACATATTTCAAATGGTGAAGTGAAGAGTAAAAGAATAATTTGCTTTACTAGCACAATTGTCATTAGTAAAAATATAACGTTCTTTGCTTCTTTAATTTTATTTAAAAAAAAACATAAAAAAGTTCTATTTAAATTTTAATTTTGTTTTGCAACATATAACGGAAGATACATTTTTAAACATAATTTTATTTTTATTTTTTAAAACAAAAAAAAATGTTTCGAAACCAGAAACCAAACAACCGAACTTGCTTTTTTTTTCTTGCTTCCCTTGTCTTGGTTGAGCTAAGAAAAGGGCAATGGACAATGGTCATTTGTCTCTCACTGAAGTCGAAAGCTCAATTTCAAAGGAGTTGCGGAGGCGCATTTAAAGCTCGACCCACGTGTCCTGCTCATAAGAACATTTTTTTTTATTAAAGAAAATTCGAAGGATTCTTTACCTCGAGAAAGATTAACCAAAATACAGTAGCCTACTGATATCAATATTAATGATACTGATGAAGCTCCAATTTTTCATATTGCTTCCCGCTTGTTTTGGTCCAATTTCTTTTTTATATTTTGAAGGTTAAAATACATATTTAATTAATTTAATTTTATATAAAACTATTTTGGTTCTCTAATTTTATTAAATATTTTTTCAACTCGCTGACATATTGTCGTGAGTTTTATTAACCAAAAACATCGATATTAAAATTCAATATAATTCTACTCATTTCTTTATTGATGAATAGCTTCTTCTGTTGTGTTGCCGTTGTCCTTAATTCTTTTCGTTAAAACTGAAATCCCACCATGTTGATAGGCATCATATGGAGTAAAGGGGCAATTAACTAATTATCCAAACGCGTGTAATATCCAGTGTTCTCTTCTCTCATACTCAGCTGAGTCTGGACTCTGGAAGGCAGTGACATGTAAATAGACATTAAGCAAAAGCCAGCGAGCAAAGTTCAGGAATTCATCTCCAATGTATTGTACTATTTAATAGTAATCTCCCTAGACAGCTAAATTAACGTATGTTTATACGAATATGCCTCAAGAATCGTACACCTAATTAATCTTTTGAAATTATAACCAGCAACCCCAACGCCCCGATTAGTATGTACTGCAACAATCAAGAGAAGACAAGTCAGAGAATTGATGGAAAAGTGAGCGAGCAAAGAAAAATGTAAACGAGAAAAGAAGAGAAAGTTGACACTTTAAACCTAACCTTCAATACGGGCTTTTCGGTCATCATTATTGTCACCCAGCCAACATAAGGTAAGAATCTGCAGAAAATCATAAGAAAAAGATGTTAACAACAGTTTCAACTTTCAAGCGATAGTGACTACACAGAAAGTTAATTTTTAGTCATTCTCAAGGCATATCAATCACTCCCCTTCAGAGGCAATGAGATATGGAACTAACAAGCCCTCCATAGATCTTTACAATAAACCATGTCATATCATAATTTTGTGTGTGTGTGTGTGTGTGTTAAAAACCGTGATCTCATCTGCTTCATAATTATAGGCTTCATAAAGAGTGAAGATCAAGTTCATTCTCGATGCTTCTGAAGGAAGACAGTAAAATTTAGTATTCATTTCAAAGATATTTGAATGAATTACCCAACAGCTCTGCCCATTATATGATGTTTCTGCAGCCAATGCTGACCATGTTTGTACAAAAACCTGTCGTCCATTGGGTTATTGTCCCCTGGTACAGTATAAAATAAATGTTAGAAACCAGAAACTAATTATCACTCAAAGCTTATTGATGCGTGTCTCTTTGGTGGCCATACAAGATCACAATTGAAACTAAGTTTATATAGAGCATGGAACCTTTAGTGAGGATATAAGCTTCTCCAGTGTCTTGACGTTCATGAACCTCATATAAAGTAATAGAATAATTAGAATTTATATTAGCTATTTTGCTTTTTAAGCATAAAGCATATTCATGATCTATTGCCAGACATAATAAGCACATTGACTATGGATATTAAAAGCAAAGTGGGAATTGGTATGCGTAATAAGACTTCGGTTCCATTCACCAAAAAGAAACAGAAAAAGGAAAAAAGACGTCCATTCGAGTTTGCATCGATCAGTGGCTACGAGCGAGTCATTAACATCTATAACCTGCTATATTCTTGCAATGTATTCTTAGTTAATATAGCATATATTACATGAATCAAATGGATGTGGCATAGAAAAGAAACTAGATACGCTATATAGATGTCTTCCAAAGTCTGTTACCTGTATTACTCGGTGAACAATTGGAATATCACGTCCCTACACGATGTGCAGACATTTATTAGCAGAACAGATAATAAAGAAAACCATATTCAAATCAACATTAGTGGACGCAATGCATAAACACATTTATTGGCTTCATTTCCACCCATCTTCCTGTTATTACTTTTTATATGAAAGTAAATTAATGGTTCAGGCAAAATCTAGGATGAAATCAGTACGCAGGCAACAAAATTGAAATCCAGTATGATTACGCCAACAAATTTTTTTTTGTTCTTCAGCATCCTTGACAAGTACATGAAGTCTCAAGGTGAAAAATTGAAAGAAAGGAAGGATCCCTATGCTATAAGACAAGTGCAATCATGTACAGGGGACCAGTTACACAGTCCATCTTATGTAATCTACAAAAGTTAATTCCTGTAGCCAGCAATAACCATAGGATCTAGGACTCCTTCCTCTCCGTCTGTAAATATGGAAGAAACGAAACTCCATGCTACAATACTACTTCTGATATTAATTATAAAACCTTATTTGTAGTCTACAAACGAAATTTTATAATTAGGACCGGAGGTAATACATAATTGCATTTGTGACGCTTGTAATTAAGATAAACAAAGAAAAAGCAAATTATGTCTCTGATTATCACTAAAAGGAGGGGATAAAAGAAATCTTCACAAGAACGCGTGATTCCACAAAAAATGAAAATGGCTCCGTGTCTTATGTGAGCGAAGTAATTGCAATACAAGAACTATCTTTTAAGTATATGTTAAAGTCTCATCTGTCATTGGTACTGACAAATGCAGCACAAAACTAAATACTGCAATTTCACAGTAAACATGCCCAGAAAAATTGACAGAGGTAGGATCATGCACTGGTCATATGTCTTGCCAAGATGTGGTAGTGTTTACTGTTACAGATAAGTCTACATCTACAGAATCAGAAAACTTCAGGCCTCACAAGAACGGATTTCTAGAATAAATAAATCTAAGCACCAAACCTGAAGAAAAGGATAAAGAAATCATACTTCTACATTGAAAACAACAATCTCTCCTGTGCGAATGGGATCCTTGCTCATTTGCAAAAACAGAATGTCACCCTGGAAGAGAATCAAAAGCTTTAGTCAGATAAAGCATTTGAAGGAGAAAAGACGAGAAAGGAGAGTGAAAATTTCAAGTATGAAGTATATCAACTTATAGTGACAGCGGGTATGCTAAATTGTTAATAGCTTACCAGTGCCACATCCAATGTATATTAGATAACATAAAAAATTCTATTCTTTTCATCCGTGACACCCTTTTTAGGGGCATGATGCTGAGCCGCTGGCTTTTCCAAAATAAACGTTAACTTGTCCTGATGTATGTACTGAACTAAACTTTGAAACGATTTGCCACTAAAAATGTAAGGAAAAAACAATACAGCAATCATTGGTTAACACCTCAATAATTATTGTAATTGTATCCAAATATGCATTTGTATATTCATAATATTTTTTATGGCTATGGGAAAAACTTCAGCAAACTTCTGAGAAAAATGTATTGACATACTCACTCTCTGGAAACCAGGTTCCATGCTTTCAGAAAGTACAACTACTACTGGTGATTCACTGCCAGTTATACACATTAATCCTTTCCATATCATTAGAGCTGATGACACAATCAAGCCTGAATAGATAAGAGAAAAGGAAAGATAAATGCAAATTATAGACTTGAAGACAATATTAATAAACAGAATTAATTGCACTCCTTTTATGTTGGCATAAAAGAGCAACAAAAAGCATACACGATTGATGAGATAATGTCATATAGGGCCCCATCACTTTCTAAAGTCTAAATTAAAATTGAAGAAATCAGGCTGAAGTTCTCCAGTACGGAAGAGAAAAGTCGTCGCATTTTTCATCAGGCTTCACTTTTCTCCAACGAGATTGGTGAGGGAGGGGGAAAAAAAAGCGCAAGGAATATATATAACCGAGAAGTTAACAAATTAAACGATTTCAATAGCAGAAAACAATGAAACAATAAATTACGGTACGGGTTAATGGACGAACGAAGACTCAACTACCGGATGAAGCAGGTCTCTGAAAGAACGACGAAGTGCGTGGCAGTCACAGCCGCCGAGGAAGAAAATGGAGAAGAACATATATAAAGATGGGGATACGAGCAGGGATTGTAGTGCATACCAAGATTGACGAGCTGGGTTAGAGATTGTCTGAGTTGAATGGACTTGAAGGAATTGGCAGTATCTCCGATCCACCCCATTGGTCTCTCTCGAATCAAAACGAAACGCAGAGTGTTGAGACTGAAGAAGGAGCAGTGAATTGGGTTATGCGCTATAAAACTTCTCTGCCTTGTAGAATTTGTATGGGGCTATCATGCAGCCTGAGATTCTTACTTCTACTACATGGGTTGTGCATCCGAAAATTGCAGATCCATCTTTCACACTTCAGACCCGCGTGTCCGTGGCTTTATGAATGTGCATGTGACACGCGTATTTCTGCGGGCCCATGGGGCAGAATGAGGTACGAGGAACCTTCGTTACAGTGATTTTTTTTTTAATTATATACTTCCTTCAGTATTTTTATTATAAGTTTTAAATAATTAATTTATAAATGATACATAATTATTTAAATTCTAGTTTTTAATGTCTTTATAATAAATAAAAAATATGTAAGAAAATGTGACAAGAAAAAATTAATTAAAGTAATATTAGATAAATGGTATTAAATGTTAAGATCTTAAAACTTATAAAATGTACCACACCTCTTTTAAAATTTGAGTTTTTTTTACCAGATTTCCTGCATTTTGATTATGGAAATTAATATCTCCCACCAATTATTAAGCAATTAATATTTTTTTTGGACCTCTAATTTATATGCCGTTAACATCAATAGCATCTAGAGGCTGTTAAAACCGTTTGTTCTGGTCACGAATGACAATGAAAAAGTAACAAGGGAAAATTCTTAGTAAATATGTTGAACGTTTCCAGGATCCAAACGACTCCCTCAATTCAACAAATCCCGAATTTCTCCAAAGAAAGATTAATTCAATAATTTGAGATTGTGATTGTTGTAATTTCACCAAACTGGCCCTCGCTTTTATAAAAAGGAAATGCCAGCCACCTCTGGCACCGTTTGTCACTCCCGCAATGGCTGGAATATTTTTGGCAAGACTGGGTAATAACTGTTGGGAAAAAAAGGCATGATTAATAGGAAAAATGGTTAAAAAAACTGTCAAAAAAATTACAAATAAAAACCCATAACAATATTAGTATGGGTTTCAACAATAATTTTTATAAATCAGTCCCTATGAGTGATTTTTCTATTTCGGCGGTTTTTTTTTTACCATCTTCCCCAACTAATAGTAAGTTCACACCTTAATATAAAAACTAGTTTCTTATTCAATTTGATTATAAATGTAAGGCCCCAATTTATTTTATCTTTCATATTTATTTATTTTTTTAAAATAGTCCTTATTATTGTAGTTACATATGTTAAATATAAAATGTAAGACCCCAATGTGTTAAATATTCTATTAAATAATAGTTCTAATTAATGCACACTATTAGTAAGGGTATTCTATGTAATATAATACTACCTCCGGTTTTTAATATAAGAGCTTGTTTGAATTTTATTTTGGTTCTAAATATAAAATCTCAATCCACTTTATCTCTCATATTTATCTATTTTTTTTTCTAAAATAGTCAGCGTAATAATGGTATTTATAACCAATACACTTGATTAGTAATGATATTTTGAAAAAGACAATACTTATTTATTACAAAAAACTAACTTAACTAATTTTCTTGATCGACTCAAATTAGTTAATTAGCTCTTATATTAAGGACTGAGGACAGTATGTTATACTTGATCCTTAATATTATAAAAATGAGATAATTAATTTATTTATGAATATTAAAAAAATTAATTAAGTTAGTTATTTGTAATAAATATATCTTGATTTTGTTAAACTATCCTATTTAATTATTTGCATTGGAATTACCCATTAATCGGCACTTCCTTAATATGTCCAATTAATAAGGATATTTTGAGAGAAAAAACAATTTGTGAGACAAAATAAATTGAAATATTATATTTAGAACTAAATAAATCTATTGTCTAGCTCTTATATTTAGTACTAGAAGTAATGCCTTGCATCAAAACACTTTAAAATTTGTTGGTGAAAATACTGAGTAATCGCTAATATGTTATAGTTAATTAATAACTATTTCATGCAGTTAATCGCTATTCCAGTTTCTGACACAATACCATGTATGCCATAGGAATATCACCTCCGTTTCTAATTATAAAATTTTATTTATAGTTTACAAATGAAATCTTAGAATTAAGATTGGAGATAGTGATTTAATATTATTATAGTCTATACAAATAAGAAATATGATTAAATAATTTTATGTGAAAAGGTTTATGAAAATACAATTTATTAATGGGATTGGGTTCAGGGGGCTAATCTCCCTAATCAGGCCGAAATCCCATCTAGGAGAAATACTCATGTAGAATTATATTGAATTGAATTACCATTTATTAGTCTGAGAACGTAATATATAATTAAATATAATATAATATTATATATCTGAATACATAAAGAAAACAAGCACCCAATAAATTGACAAACATGTAATACAAATATAATTATAAAATTAATAATTTGTAATCTGAATTTTTATAATAATTTTTGTCCTTACTAAATAATTACAGATTAAAATATAAACATTTTTCATTACTTTTATAATATAGTAAATCCTCGCAATTTACACTAATTGATATGATTTTATCTCACAATTAATTTAACGTTCTCCTTTCAAAACTAATATTTGAAAAGAAGATCTTATTACACTTCCAAAAACAAGATAGGAGGATTATTCCAAAACTGATTGGATCTGCTTTTTTTAAAAGTATGTTGGACGATTTGAAAATAATTCTCCTCACGCTATTGTTTCCTCCTCCTCTACTATACTTTACACACAACTTGGGTGAAGATGCAGGTCACGCTCCTTTCTTCTTCCTCCACCATCCTCTAATTTGCACACAACTTGGATGAAGATGTGGGACGGAGTACAGGCAGAAGGTAGTTTGTTTGTTTGTTTATAAGAGTACTTTCGTCTTTCTGCTCTTTTACATACACGGGAAAAGATGAGCGTTAGAAAAACTTTGGATTTGCCCACCATGAGAGCTCCATAACAAGTTGTGTGCAGTGATATATAGATGAGTATGGCTGTCTGGCTTATTTGTTTACACTTGCATTGGTGCACAGCTTGGGACTGGCTATGTACCAATGAGAATTGTACCCAATTCTCACCATTCCATTCGCACATAACCAGCTTGTATCCGTATGAAGTATTCTTACGGTTCTAAATATAAGACCCTTATACTAGTGTGTATAAAAATCTTATATTTAGAATCGGAGGAGTATCACAAATGTGTTAAGAATAAATATGGGCCTCCACAAAGAAGAGTTGTTCCAAAAAAAAGGTAAGTGTTGAGTGTGAGTATAACTTTCTCATCCAAATTTTAAATCCTCTATGTGTACTGTTACTGGCTTGCTGCTTAATTTAGATTGTTGTTTACTGATAATCTTATTTATAAAATCTAGTATCCAATATCAATAGCTGTGATAGAGAAAGGATATATCTAATTTAACATCTAATTAACACACTCTTAATGCTAATGAGAATCTATTTCTTGGTGTACGAGAACGTTTGTAGGAGAATGTGCGAGAAATGTAAGAACGCCGGGCTAAATGCATCCATCTAGATGTGTGATCGTGTACGTAGTTTTTGTCATATTCGAAGACGAATGCAAAACGTACGAGTTCTATTTTTAACATTCTTTGATCCTCTACAAATTTGAAACTTTAATGTATAGATGCATACTTATACCCTGTTCTGTAAATTGCAAATTTTGTTTAAAAACCTGGTTCTTGTTGTTCGATAACCAGATATTTCTGAATTAAAGCGACGTACGAATTTCTGAATTGCTACCATTTGCTGATCTAGCGGCCCAGGACTATGGTTGTTTGATTCTGCTTCTTAATGGCAACCCGTTCTATATATGGTGCAAGCAATTAATCAGTTTTAAGCTTTTCCCTGTCAACATTTCTTCAGTTGATGACTTTTTGTGCTTAATTCTTAAAAATTCATATTTTGACGGTCGTGAAATTACTAAAATCTACCCGTGTGTTCAGGTTGAGCTTTTCCAAACAATATACTATTAGTAGCTATGAAATTCATGAAAGGGACTAAGGTGGAAGTATGAAGCAAATCAGAGGTGCAAAGATCATCTGGGACTAAGTCATTTCATTTTCAAGATAATGATTTTACTTAGCTCATAATTGAGCATCATAATGATTTGAAGAAGTGAATAGTGTTGTTTATTCACGTGCGTACTTTTGAGTGCAGTCATTTCAATTAATTTTCAAGTATTTGAAATTCATTTCTAAACAATCTACTGTGAAGAGTCAAATCCTTTTCCTTGCATGCCTCAACAAATGCCATCAAAATTTGTAGACATCACTTTGTTATCATGTCGTATGCGTGAAATATTATTATATTTAATATGTGTATTCATATTTCATACGAATAAACAATACGTAGAAAGATATAAATTAAAATGATGTTATATAAAGATAATAAAAATCATTAAATAGAGATAAGATCTTTAATTAATACCAACAACTATGAAAAAAAATCTGAATAATAGTCGTTAGATGAGACAAATTTTTCATCTGAGGTCAACATGTATAAACAAAATTAAAATCTAATTTCATCTGATGCGATAAATATTTGTAGTTAATATCAAATAGTTAAAATTTTTATAACACTCAAATGTATCTGTTATGATTTCACAGTATTTATTTTAAATTTTTAACAATTATCAGGTGTCAAAAAATAAATACGGAATAATAGTGGGTGATGCGTACGTAGTTGGAAGCTCTACAAACAAACTCATGCAAGACGCCAAAAAAAAAAAGGAGAGAGAGAAAGAGGGAAAAAAAACTCGGAAAATTTAATGATTAGGGTGAATAATAAGTAAGGAATGCACTTCCTATATATTAGGAAGATATGATCTCCCATATTTTAAAAACTTTCCTTAGCATTTGGAATATTTGTTTCTTGCCTCTAAATTAAATTAGATTTTAAAGCAATTAAATATATATATCTTCTTATTGAAAACAATTATATTCGAGGTACTGTTAAATACTAAATATAAATACTTTTTTTAATAGAGATTTAAATTTTGATTTGTCACGTTGTGATAGACTAGTCTTTATATTAAACTCAATCTCTATAAATTAAAGTAATTTATGTATTTTGATTAGGTGAATATCATAATTAAAATCGCCCAGCCATTAAGGATGATTCACGCCCAAAGTCCAACATTAGG